ATTTTGCATGGTACGCCATTATGAATGGTTCCTCCTTATGTCCTATCTTCTTAAGGTCTATCAAAGTGAATCCCATTTCATCAGTTTGAACACCAGTATTAATATCAATCCATTTACATTTGAATATAGGAACTCGAATTGAATGTAGTCAACCTCCCAAATCTCCTCAATCACTCCAAAGTAACTCATAGACGCCATAATTGGGTTCTTATCCTTTGAACTAGAAAAGTGCATGGATGTCGCCTCAATAGATACTCCACTATTTTGGACTGTACTTTTTTCATCTTGTAACTTTGTGTAGAATGAGTATTTGTTAATGTCATACCCAGTCCAAGTCACGACGTTCGTTTAGGACCATGTGCTAGCCATTTCAAAGTATCGGATGCATTGTCCTCGGAAAAGATTTTTGTTTTAAACCAGCTAACAAAAGTATTATTATGTTCATTAACCAACCACCGCTCACTCATTTTGGGGTTGAGGGTCTTCAATATTGATTGATGAGCAGATATGTAAGGAAGAACTTCATCTCGTGTTGTTTAGAATATACAAGTGTGCCCTGGTCAACTCACTAGCATTTTTTGATTGTATTTTGACCCCACGAGTGCCCTTACCATTTATTCTATGATCATGTCGTTGAGTAGGTACACCCACTGCTAGGGCCTTTCCTAAATATTCAGAACAAAATTCTATAGCTTCTTCTCGCAATATACCTTTCAACAATAGAAGCTTCGTGTCTATATGGATTCTTTGTATACCCTTTAAAGATCTTCATACATCGCTCAATTGGGTACATCCACCTCAAATAAATCGGACCACACAGTCTTATCTCTCTTACAAGATGAACTATTAAGTGCATCATAATGTCAAAAAATGATGGAGGAAAATACATCTCCAACTGACATAATATAACCACAGCTTCATTTTCCAACTGCTCCAATGATTTTTCATCAACTACTTTGGCACATATAGCATTGAAGAAGAAACAAAGACGCATAATTGCATGTCGTAGATTCTTTGGCAATATGTCACGTATAGCTACGGGTAAGAGTTGTTGCATCAAAACGTGACAATCATGCGACTTTAACCCAACTAGCTTCAGATCTTTCATGGACACAAGACTCTTAATATTTGAAGAGTATCCTTGTGGCACTTTAATACTCGTGAAGACACCGACATAAACTAGTCTTCTCCTTCTTTGACAATGTGTGACAAGCTGGTGGTAAATATGTTATCTTGCCTTCAGTGTCTTGGATGTAATTCTGGACGTATTCCCAATTCACATAGATCTTGACGAGCTTTGACTCCATCCTTTGTTTTTCCTTTAATGTTCAATAGTGTGCCAATGAGACTATCAAATACGTTCTTCTCCACATGCATAAAATCAATGCAATGTCTCACATCTAGATGACTCCAATATGGAAGGTTAAAGAAAATTGATCTCTTTTTCCACAACCTTTTATCGACGACTGTTTTTTAGTCTTTCCAAAGACAACATTAATGTTTCTAACCCGTTCATAAACTTGTTCACCAGTTAAAGGTTGTTTGGCAATTTTATCTTCCTGCTGACCATTAAAAGCTTTCTTCAATCTTCGATATGGGTGGTTATGTGGAAGAAATTTTCTGTGCCTATTATACACAGTCTTTTTTCCATGCTTCAATTGTAGAAAACTTGTATCTTCCTCACAAATAGGACAAGCATGATGACCCTTGACACTATACCCACTCAAGTTTCCATATGCTGGGAAGTCATTGATAGTACAAAATAACATTGCATGTAACTTGAAGCTCTTCTGTTGATATGCATCAAACACATCCACTCCTTCCTCCCACAATAGCCTTAAGTCATCTATTAACGGACTTAGATAAACATCTATGTCATTACCCTACTGTCTTGGACCTGCAATCATGATGGATAACATCACGTACTTGCGCTTGAAAATCAACCATTGTGGAAGGTTGTAAATCACTAAAAGAACTGGCCATGAGCCGTGATTACCTGGTTAAGTTACCAAAAGGATTCATGCCGTCCGTGGCTAGTCTAAGTCTAACATTTCTTGCATCACCGCCAAAACTTGGAAATAGGCAAGTCAATTTTCTTCCACTGTGGAGAATCGGCCGAATGACGAAGCAATCCATCACGTTTTTGTGCAGCTTGAATGCCATATCATATTCTTGGCATCTTCTCCATTGGCAAACAATCGCTTCAATCTTGGAATAATTGGAAGATACCATATAACTTTTGCAGGAGGTCTCTTTCTATCAATACATTCGCTATTATCATCCTTGTCTTTCAATTTGTAACGCGATACACCACATCTTGGACACTCATGTAGGCTTTCAAACTCTTTTCTCGTATAATACACAATCATTAGGGCAAGCATGTATCTTTTTATACTGTAAACCCATTGGACAAAGTAATTTTTTGGCTTCATACATACGATCAGGCAAGGTGTTATCGCTTGGGAGCATATCTTTCAAAACTTCTAGTAACTCAGTGAAACTTTTATCACTCCAACCAAATTTGGCCTTCAAATTGACCAATCTCAATACAGATCGACAATCGCGTGAATGTTGTACATCCAGCATACAGAGGTATCTCTGAATCTATCTTCAATTTATCATAGACAGCAGCATGTGCTTGCAGAAAATTCTCTTGACCTACATCACGAATCATGTCTTCTATTCGATCTTCCATTGTCATATCCTCCTCTTCCTCAGCTTGTGTTACTATTGGTGTATCAATCACTTCACCATGCCATGTCCATAGGATATAATTCTTCATTATCCCATCACATAAAAGATGTTCCCGTATTGTCTCTAGTGTGTGTACTCTCCCATTAACGCAGTTAACGCATGGACAATACAATTTTCCATTAACCTTGGTGCCATTGTGTTCGGCAAATCGCAAAAATTCTTCAACTCCATTCTCATACTCTTGTGAAATACGACTTGCATTTACCCAACTTCGATCCATTTTGGAATTGGAGTCTACAAATGAGAAACCCATAAAACTACATTGTTACTACGTACCATCACTTATATAACTACATTGTTATATGTAGTTTCCATGTTATACGTAGTTTCCATAATTCACACTTCATGCTTAATTTCTAACCAAAATCCGACAGAGTTTCCTTTGTTTTTTGGCAACAATTTTAAATGACACAGTGAAACCTGACAATAAAAAGCCCCACGGGCATATTCAAGCAGTTCAAGTATAATTGTACACATCATCAATACATTGAAAAAAACTATAATATGACTAAGAATTGAATCAACAGTTAACGGCAAATGACTAACAATCTCTACCTATGAAATGTAGTAAGTAAAATTGTATGACTTTGCCCAACAAATATAAGTGCAACAACATCGTACCTGTGGTTTAAGGCAGCGATGAAGGTTCGCACCACAGAGAAACAGAGCAGCGCTGCACTGGGGTGGAGGTGGAGGATGCAATGCGGCATTAGGGTCGAGGCCGTGGTGAGCGGACAATGCAATGTGGGTGGAGGCTGCGGTGGGGGTGGAGGGTGGTTGACTAGCGTCGCGGTGGGGTGGAAGCTGCAGTGGGGTGGAGGTGCTCGCGGCGGGGTGTCACGCGGTGCGCGGTGGCGACGTGAGGGAGGGCGTCCGGAGAGTCCAAATGACGGTGGTAGGTGGTGGCCGCGATGCTGGAGAGTAAGGGGAGTGGGCGCGATGCTGGAGAGTAAGGGGAGATATACAAAAATGGTAGCCTATTCAAATGGGAAAACGGGGTTTCGACGTCGGTTATACCCACACCCGACGTTGAAACTCGATTTATCTCCTGTTTTAATCGATTGAAACGAGATTTAATCGATTAAAATAGTTCTGATCGGTCATAACTGGATTCTGATCGATCATCCTGACCCTTTAAGAGATTTTAATCGATTGAAACGTGTTTTTAATCGATTGAAAAAATTCTGATCGCTCATAATTAAAATCTGATCGATCACATTTGATTCTGATCGGTCATATTTGTATTCTGATCGGTCATAATGAGTTCAGAAGGGTTTTCAACGTCGGGTGAGGGCATAACCGACGTCGAAAGCCTACTTTCCACGTCATGCATGCTAAAACGACGTAGAATGTGTCAAAATTCGACTTTCGACGTCGGTTGTTGACCAACCGACGTTGAAAGCATGTTCAACGTCGGCTAAGATATAACCGACGTTAAACAGCGACGTTGAAAGTATATTTTCTAGTAGTGCAAATATTGCTTTTAGCTCTGAAAGATTTACGAGTGTCTATCAACAATAAATAAAGCCAAATCTTAATAAAAATTTAAATTATTAATGTTTTGAGAAATCTTTTTCCTCTTATTAATGCAGAAAATGATGTAAAAATATAACCAGCGTTTGGCATCACAAATGATTTTCTTGTTAAAGTTAAATGTCAAATGGGGACCTGCATCTTCCTGATTAATTAATAATTGGAGAAAAATCTGAAAAAAAAAAGTACAACACAATTTTTATGAAATGCAGTCAATTCAAGTGTGTTACAATCACAGAATAATGATTCTTTTTTCTCATTTCACTGTATGCATGTTGCTCTCAGTGATAGATTAAAACAAGACAGGAAAAACTTTCCAACAAAAAGTTATCAATATCGAATAGCTAGCATTATCCCTAACTAAATTTGAAATTGAGGGTGTGGGATCAATGTCTTAAAGAAAGATTCATTAATCATTCACTCTTTCTACAGCAAAACTGGCATATGCATATTCTACTAGTCAAGCTTTAAAATTGCTTTGCCCCTGAGTCATGTTTGGATTAAAGCTTTTACAAATTCAAATGCCTAAGTGCAAATGTTGATGCAAACTCAAATGACCAAACATATGCTACTTAATTATCGCCACGGTTCTGAAAAATTGTGGACAATTAATGCCGATGGGGTCAATATTGCAGTTGCAATATTGTGATTACAATATAATCAAGACTTTGAAAAACTATAATGCTACGAAAATCACACATATTAAAACCATGCTACTGGCCTGAGTGATCATGTCCATGTTCATCAAATTGTTGGTGGTGGCTGTAGAAGTAGGATGCTTGAGAAGAGGTTGAAGAAAAAGTGGTAGAGAATTGAGAGCTGAAGGGTGGTTGCTGTTGCTGCTGCTGCTGTTGTTGATTGAAAAGATGGGATGTGTAGTAAGGGAACTCTGCATCATCACTTGAAAGAATCTGTGCATATTGAAGCAGGTTTGGAAAAACTTGGTGGCCATGTTGATCATGTGAGGAAAATGGGGATGGAGCAGCACCATGAACAGAAGAAACAGGCTCAGTGGCACCTGTGGCAGAGGCAGTGTTAGAAGATGCATGGAAGGGAAAAATGTTTGTGTTTGATGAAGCTTGGTGTTGCATGCAGGAAACATCATGATGAACTCTTTCAGGAAAATTGAGCTTGGCTTTGGTGCCTTTGAACTTGAGTGCTGCTTTGTCATATGCAAGGGCTGCATCCTCTGCCGTTTCAAAGGTTCCAAGCCACACTCTTGCAGCTTTTTTGGGGTCACGGATTTCTGCTGCCCATTTCCCCCATGGTCTCTGTCTCACTCCTCTGTAGTGTGCCTTCTTTTTCATCCCTTCATTACCAACAACAACACAATGCAACTATCATTACTTGAATGAGTTTTCAGGGATCAAACACAAAATTTTCCACTACATATATCATGTGCTGAATGTTTAACAGCTAGGTAAAATTTATGGTATTATTTTCTTAGTAATTTTACCAGGTTAAAAGCCTATCTCACTTGTTGTAGTTTTAATTGTTTTTATATAAAATGATAAATGGGTTTGTTTAGTTAAACCTAAAATAAGTGTTTATAAAATAAACAATTTATTTGTTAAAAAACACAAATTTATTTATTTTTAAAATAAATGGACTAAATAAACACATGAAAAAGTTACAATTACTTATTTTTATTAAAAAAAAACTCTCCTAACATCTTATAAGCATTAAAATGATAAGATATATTAAGAGACATTAGTATATAAAGTAACTTAGCTTGTGTCTTAACTATAAAAAGAAAGAGATAATATCAAATGTAAAACGTAAATACGGACATGACAAAGTTAAGGTAGATGTTGATTTTATGTTTCCTAGTGCTTAAAACTATGCTTCTCAAACACTAGAGTTATTAATATTAAAGTATTAATTAACACACTTTTATTATTGTAATTTGTTACTTTATTTTATTATGAAATCAAAATCAAAATTACCGTTCTAAGAATTTTAAAAAGTTTTAAGACATTATGCATGCAATAGCAGCATGGGTAATGAGAATGTGGTTTAATTAATAGATATATAAAATTAAAAAAAAAAATTGATGTAAAATGCACCATATATATTTTATTCTGTTAAGAAAAGAAGTTCTCATGCTTATAAGTTCCTCTTGATGTGTGATTTTTTTTGTGTGGTGGTCAAAGATGAGATAAGAAGAAAGAAGAAATGTCACGACAACTTGAATAATATAAGACAAGTGCATGCATTGAATTTCTTTATTTACTAAGTTGTCCGCATGCGACTTATGCTAACATTGCCATTCTTGGGTTTGGTTTTTTATTTTATTTTTCTAAACAAGACGTGGTCGCAGACCAAAAGTTTCTTTATTCCTTATTTCAATGAAACTTGACTTAATTTTGTCTTGGAATGTGATAAAGAAATATATAAATACATAAATTGTGAGCATTTATGTGATATGCATTATATACATAGTCAAAGATATAAATAAACTCAAATTAAATATATGTATTATTATAGATATGCATTGTATATTCAATAATGTATTGTGAGTAAAAAAATTACATGTTTTTATATGTTCTTTCTTTTGAGTTTCTTTTATTAATTTCGGATTGTTAGAAGATTAGATGGAGATCTTAATTAGTGAAATCTCAAAGTTGATGGCAGTGGTTATTTAAAATTAAGATTAATAAATCATTTTTGTACTATAACAAAATTATTTACAATAAAATAAATAAAATTATCCTATCTTTTTCATGAAAAACTAATCTATTTTTTCAAAAACACGAGAGAAAGCAGTGTAATTTGAGTATCTTCGAAAAAAATAAATTGTATTTGATATAAACAAATATAAAGATCACAGATCGTTGTTGATGGCTTGGGGTGTAGGATATTTCATAATAGTTGTTTGAATTTGACAGGAAAGATAGATCAGAATACAAGAAGAATGAGGTATCTCAAATTCCAAACCAAATGGATTCTATTTTTAGTTTTGTTTTTTTGATCGAAAACCACTTGATTCTATGTATGACATCCAAGGATCCACCATTTCCATTAATTGGAACTTAAAAACACAGAAAGTGTTTCTTTTTTAAGAAAACAAGCCAACAATTCTCACTGTGACAATATATAAATGATGAACATGAAAACAAATTAAGATAGCTATAGCAAACCTTCATCTAGAGGAGGTTGAGGTTGAGGTTCATCTTTGGTCTGGAAAGGTGAGAGAGGAGAAGAGGTTGATTGTGGCATGGAAGGGTTCCGATTGGTTGTTCCCATAACTTGAGCAAGAGCTGAAACCATTGCAGACATGTCAGTTTCTGAAGACCAAGAAGCATAAGCATCAAAGTCTTGTGATGCGTCCTCTTTCTCTTTCTCCTTTGATGCTTGTGAAGATAGTGGTAGTTTTCCATGCCTTCTTGGATCCACTTTTAGGTTGCTGCTCTATGCTCTTTATGTTATCAAATATGATCTTCTGGTCATGTCAATAACCCTCTTATACCAGCCAAATTTAAGGGCTGAGAAAAAAATTTATATATATACTAATTTGTTATTCTTGTGTTCAACTTTTGCTCTCTCTTTTTTTTTCTCTCAACTTTTTTTTTTCCATTATTAACCATGATTGACTCTCATTTGAAATTTCAGCATGCAAGAAAGTCTGATTTTGTTAGAATATCATCACTTTAGTTTTTTATGGAATTAAATATATCTTTATTATTTTAAATTTTTTTGTTTTTTTTTTAACCTTTAGATTTATAATTGGTTTTTCTAGTAAAATAAATATTTGAAAAATAAATGTAGTAGTAAACGTATTTTTTGATGTTATAATATTGAAAAGAAAACCTTTAAGTTGAGGAAACAAAATCAAACTTTCTTGAACTTGGAAGGAATAGAAAAATGTTTGATCCTCTCTAAATGTTAAGGGCATTAGAAAAGAGTGGAAGATTATTAATAAATTTTAAAAAGAAAAAAGAGGGAAAATTAGAATTGGGATGTTCACTTTTATGGTAGTATGTATAATTGACATTCCTTTACAGCTCTCACTTCTCAATTGCTAGACCAAGTCCATATCTCTTGCCATATTCTTCTACAACAATTGTCTCTGGAACAAGTGGCTTCGTAACATTTAAAGAATAATGACAGTGACACGATTATAAGTGGCTAAAACAAAGACACATCTCTTTAATTATTATACCCTTTTTTTCTTCTTTTTCATAAGTTAGGTTTTCAACACCTTTATTGACGTGTGTACGATTAATATATTTGAGGATTTTTTTTCTGTTTGATTTAAATAGTTATGAAAATTGTATTATTTTAATACATATTTCATTATTATGATAAATATTATAACTAAAAGTATATTTTTGTATTCATTCAAAAAATATTTTTGAATAATTAATTTTATTAGGATAAAAAAATTATTATATATATATGACAATCATAATTATAATAAACAAATATTTAATTCTTACTGATAATTAAAACCGTTAAATATATATAATATTTAAATATGATATTTTCTGTCACATAGAAATAGACATGGACAGGGATAAATTGACTTGCTAAAACTTTCAATAATTTTTGTAATTGTTAGTACACAAAAGATAAAGCATTGAAGTTGATATTAATGAACATAAATTTTCCAAAAATAGAAAAAATAAAAGGAGAAGACACTAAACATAAGATTATATGGGAGATGATATAAAAAAAGTATTTTGATCATATCTGATATATATGATTATGCATATCCATATATATATATATATATATATATATATATATATATATATATATATATATATAGAGAGAGAGAGAGAGAGAGAGAGAGAGAGAGAGAGAGAGAGAGAGCATTGATGTAGATTTAACACTGACACATTTGTATAGATTAATTGTATGAACTATGAATACTACTAAGAATTTGTTAATGATGTTTGGTGATATAACGTCAATCTTGATGGCGTGATTTCCCTGTGCATTCAATCAACAGATTGCATTTCAAAAAACACGTAGAAAATGGTTTGTCTCCAAATAGTGCAGCTTGATCTGAGAATTATTTGCTTTCAAGGATCATTTCAATTGTCTGTATCCCATATTTTTAACAAGTTTCTTCTTCTTTTGAATTTCAATTTGAATACTGAACTCGCAAAGTTGAGCCGTGAATGAAAGATGATGAAAGGTAGGAACCACAGGAATTGCAAGTTATAATCTGCACGCCGCGCATGAAGTACGACGTTGTCCTCATTCGCCTCTGATTGATTCACGCATGATATTTGGTCGTTTCATCACATGTAATTATCTTCTTTCAGCGTCCTCCCATGATACAATTCCCATCTTTTTATATCATTCATTGTCATCACTTGTACCATTCTTTTTATACCCCTTTAGCTACCTGTTTCTTTCATTCAAACAGGAAGAGAAATTTTCTCAGAAAGTAAATAATATTTCTACAACAATTATCAGTTGTTGGTCATCAGAAAATGAAAATGAAATATTCTTTTGACCCCTCTTTATTTCTTACTTAGGTGAAAAACGAGTTTGAGGGTTTGCAGAAGGTGGTAAAATTAACTTTGATGGAATAAAATCTGGTTTGAACCTTATCTTCATCAGTTGTCTCTGGCTGAGACATTGATGAAGTTGTGGGTGTTATGTGTGGCTTATGTGGTGGGATAATAGGCTTTGTCACTCACACTCTAAAAGATACCTCTATGGTAGCTGCAAGTACTACCACCCTTTATTCCTCAATTCTCATGCCCATGTCACAAGAGTCAACTGTGTCAGTGATAAAGAAAGACACAACATGGTTCATCATGATTAACCTCAACAATTTTTAAAATTTATGGAAAACTTTAGATATTCATAAAGAGTAATACTTTTAATAAAACACGTAAATATAATTTAAGAGATAAATATTATAATCATACAATAAAATTATTAAAAAAAATTAATATATTTTTGTTTTCCTACCCATTTCTTTGAGCATAAAAATGGAAGAATGGTGGTGCAAAACTAGGTAGGGAGAAGCTAGCGTGGATCCAAATGGAACAAACATGCCTACAAGTTAATGAGTCACATCACATCCTTAGGAACAGTGAAGAATGAAGATAGTGGTACGTGAACTTTTCACTCCGAATCGTATCCGCTGTAATCATTGCTGATCTTACTTTAATACTTTGTTGAGTTGAAACTAAACAAACACAACCTAAGAGTTTTGCTTTATGAGTGATTAGCCGAGTAAGTAGTAGGCGCAAAGAAAGAAAAAAAGGGGAGTAATGAAGTGATGAATGGGATGGTTTAGTTTTGTGAGGAACATTGAATGAATGGATTTGGAAAGTGGAGAAAAGAGAAAAGAAAAAGAGTGTCGGCGTGAGTGATGGAAATGGAAAATGAAGGACATGTGCGAGCCGCAAAGGAAAGGACATGCAATGCAAGTTGCATGGGAATGGGATGTGGATGTGAATGTGTGGGCATGCATGTGCATTTTCCTCGCATGCTATCGCGGTCCTTTCATGCGCAGTTACACACCTTAATGTCACCATCACTCCCCCACATGCCTATTATTTTTCTCAAATTTACCAAAACAAAAAATATACCACTTTTATTGGGTGTGACTTTTCTTCACAGATATTCCTCCTGTCATTTCAAATAAAAGTGCTGTATTACAATCTTTAAATAAAATACTACTTATTTATTCATTGTTCAAAAACTTGTCAGATATTTTTAATAAAAAAATCATATAAGTTAATTCATTAACATTATTGTTATGTTATATTATAATAACTTATAATTAAATTTTTTATAAATGAATTTTTTTCTTAAAATGTTTTATTCTCTTCTCATTTATTATATTTTTATAATTGTTTAGTTAATAATAACAAAAAAATTATCATGTTACTTGTAATTTATCATTGTTTTAATTTCATATTTTTCTTTTAAGTATTGCAATAAACGATATACATGTTTTTTATTATTTTATCAAATAATTTATAGAATGAAAACAACTTTTATTTGCTTTTTAAATATTTTTATTACATTAAAATAATAGTGAACCTTTAAGTATGATATAATATAATAAAATTATTTTTCTAATTTTTAAGTGAAAAAATAATTCATATAAATTATTATTTTTAGATATGATCTTAATTGAATTACTAATGTCAAAATAAATTCGGGTAAAAAATACAACAAATTAATACATTACTTAAAAAAATTAGATTTATACACTTAGTTAGGCATAAGTTGGTTTATAAACTTATAGATACCTAAATTTTATAAAACGATAATTATTTTTTAAAAGAAGGAAAAAAACAATATTATTTTATTAATATATATATATAATTTATATATCAAATTAATATATTTAAAATTAAAATTATTTTTATTCTTATAATTCAAATTATATATATATATATATATATATATATATAAATAGATCATAATAGATTTTTGAAATATTATATTATTTGAAAATGTTATGATTTATTTTATTCAACCAAGTAAAATATTTATTAACTTAATATAGAATTAGACTTAAAAAAAAAAACTATGATTAGTTTAAACTATAGGTGGAATTAAAACATCTAATTTATTTTATTTTACCAATCAAATTCAGTCTAGGATGATAAAATCAAATAGATTCAACAAATTGGTTGACGTTATTAAGAGCGGGACGTTTTTAAAAGTTATATAATATTAAAATTAAAATAAAAAAATTATAATTTAAAAATATTATACTTTCCTATAGTATTAAAATATATTATAATATTATAATTTAAAATCATAAATATTAATAAAAAAATGTGACCTTTAAATTTTTTTAATATTTTAATATTTTAATATATATATATATATATATAAATAAATTTGTGTGTTAACTTATTATCTAATCTATTACCTAATAAAAATTTTGTCTTAATTATTATGAGTTAGTTCATCTAATCTTATTCTAAACTAATATAAATGACAAGAATTGAAGTATTAGAATTACATGTAAATAAAAATAGGAAGAACAAATCTTATACAATTTATATATTAAAAGGTAAAATATATTTTTAATTGCCACCCTACAATATTTAAAGTTCATTTTTAATCATTTAAAAAGTTATTTAATATTTGATCTCTTTAAAATTAAAAATCACTATGTTTTTGTCTTCCACACAAATTTTAAATATATTTTTTTGAAAGTTTTTAAACTGAATATTGTGTGTAGCATAACGCCAACAGGGGTGTCATTTCAAAGCTAGTTTTAGTTTGGGCCATGAATTCTGACAACTCCATTTCCACCGTCCATGGATACTCTCTTTATTCTCATTTTAGATATGTCAAAAAGAAGTTTTTTTTTTTTTTTTCCTTTCTTTATTTTATTGCTAGATACTTCAATATTTATCTTCTAATACACTTTTTACTTTTTATCTTATTTTTTCATGCTATTTTAATTTTTTAGTTCAAAAAGTTTCATCTTAATTTCGTAATCTGTTTATTTAACTAAAATAGTCATTTTATTACTTAAATTAATTAATGAAATTTGACTAATTTACTTTTAACGAATAAAAATCTAAAGAAGCATTTATTTTTTTAATTTAAGGGACCAAATAGAAAAAAAAATTTAACACCAAAGCTGTATTTAAGTTAAATTAAAAAAATAATACAGCATATATATGCATTCTCTAAACAAAAAGGATTATATATACAAGAATTTTTCGTGGACATTATAAATAGCTTAAAAAAACTAAATTAAACTATTTTAATTTTAAAAAATCTAACTCGAGTGTATTGATCCATTTGTAAAAATTTTATGTTTTTGTCAGTATTAAGGAACTTTTGAAAGTATAATTTTTATTTTTCCAATAAAACATTCCATGAATGCACTAAATTAAAAATATGAATTCCATAAATTTTGAAGGATATCCAGAAACCGGTACGTCAATGAGAATCATAATAATAAGAACAGAGGGAGTATGAGAAGGTACATATACAGGTATATTATTTTATTTTGTTAAAATTATTATTAAATATATAAACAAATTATACCAATACACCATTTTACTTAAAAATTAAATTATCCTACTAACTTAAGATCTTAGTCTGCTACTAAGAAAAAAGAAAGTTAATTCACTTATTCACAATCCATAAACTAATTTAAATTAGCTCAGTTTATCAGATAAGTTAGAACATTATTGTTTTAAACCTTATTAATATAAAAATAGTTAAAAATATTAGGCAACTTTAATTAGATTATTTTAAACCTTTTTTTTTGTTTAACATGTTTTTCATATTTAAATAAATCAAATAATATTACTACATTTATAATATTGTTTTGTGTTCACTTTTAAATAAAATATTTGAAAATTATAAACTTACTTGTCACTTAAAAAAGTAAATTTGTAAGTTTATTACTTTATTTAAAATTATGTTTAAATCAGTTTCAAGTTTTCTAAAACTTAACAAAAATCATATATAAACTTGGAGTTCATTAAAACGTACATCTAATTCGACTCTTATAGATTAAAGAAAAACAATTTAATGATTCAATTTAATTCATATTTTTAAATTGATCATATTTTTTTATTCTAATTTAACTTTAAGTTAGCCCAACAGTTACCAAATCAATTTTGTCCCAATTGAAATTAAAAAAAAAACATGCCTATATAGAAATATTTTATTAAAAATATTTAAATAAAAATTTAAAATATATTTTAAAAATTAAATTAATTTTTATTTTAAATATAATAGTTTAATATATATAAATTAAAAAATATATATGTTTAGTCACAAAACTATTTTTTTAATAATTTATTAATTTAAAATAATAATTCATGTTAATCATTATATTTAGTAGAGTTAGAGACTTTTTCTTATATTCTTAAATAAATTTTTTATCAAATTAATTTTTATATATATATATATATATATATATTAATATAATAATAATAATAATAATAATAATTTATTTAAAAATTATTATTATTTTATAAAATGAGCTTACTCATGAACTAGTTAATATGATATAAATATATGTATATAATAACTTAAATAAGCATAAAAAATAACCCTCATTTAATTTAAATTATAGATTTTTTAACCTAATTTAATATATTTTTCGAATTTTTGGTTGATTTTAATACCTTATATAAACTTGAAAATAAGCCCAATTAAAATTTTGTAAAGTTTAATCGCATTTAAGGTTTCCCTTTCTTCTAATATGTCACAATATATATATTTCAAAGTCTAGTTGAAATTTGGGTTCATAAAGATCTTAGGGTTACACACTAATAAAATAGTTATCCTATAATTTTAATAAGACAAACTCTTAAACAAAAAGAAAAAATTAAGCCAATCTACCTGATTTGAGAGGAAACGAATTCATGGGACCTGAAGGAAATGACATTAGTGATATAGAAATCCAACTATACCTTTACAAGTGACAATAGAGATACTTAAACGACGAGACACAACAATTATATTATTCATAGTGTAATTTTTACAAGGTGAACAGAAAAGTGTGCACGCACACCAAACATTAAAATGATGAACAATCAAAAGAAGGCTTCAACACAGTAATAAATAGTTGATAAAAAGTTTCACCGGGACTAGATGGTCTTCAAAATCAACAATTTACAAAAGAAAAAGCAAGGAGAGGAAGAAGGAAAACAAAGGTAAAATTGATACAGTCTAAGTTCCCCTCAAACCACTTTACAAGCCTCTCCTCCAGTCTCCAATGTGAAATTCCTGTACATGTAATCCTTTGACACATGAAAAGTTGTGACTTAGTAACAAAAGCCAAAAAGAACTGGAAAACTTCTTGGCTTACTCAAGGTTAGTGTTGGTACCTGTGTACCCCAAACATAAGCAGCTTTATAAATGTGACTAGATCACTTGACTTCCAAAGGTTAGGACCCACTAAAATTAATGGTATTGCAGTCTCCATCAGTCTGACTCCAATGAATGACTGTCTCCATCAGATGAGAGGCTGCTGTTTCCCAAATTAGGCTGACTCCCTTGGAGGCTATCCTCCTGAGTGTTGTTTCTCACTCTTCCAGCTTTGTTGCGAATATTTGTGCCTACCGGGAAAGGAACCTGTGTTCCTAGCAAAGTTAGTAGCCACTCTGTGTGTAGCTTCCTCTCTTGGTAAAAAGAGAAGTGCAAATTTCAAACTGGCTTGCCTAGAATGTATTTATGCTTGAAGCAGGTAAGAATACAAGATATAATATGCTTGAAGCAAGTAAGAATACATGCTATATTATGCTTGAAGTAAAAATGTATGAATGTATAACAGATAAATGGATCTTAAAAGAAATTTATACCTGGTCACCAGCATTAGGGCCATCAGTGTTGAAGAGGATAGGCCTGCAGCGCTTATCCTCGTTCATCAAGCTTGAATTTTGGAAGTGAGCAATGAGTGCTGCTTTTCCTTGTATACGAGCATATGCTAGTGATGCCACTTTCTCACTGTTGAATTTCTCCCACTTCTTTCCATTGAACACCTGCCAGAATTGCATCATAAGATTTAGTCTATTAGTACAGGGTGTGTGTGAATAATTAATTTCATTGTATCATCATTTTCTATAGCATACCTGATAGAATGGTATAATCAAGTCGGGATTGATTATGTTGATGAATGCATACCCCACATTGCATTTGTTCTGCAATTAATGCTGATTCGGTGTGAATAATCAAACAAAAAATGAGAAAGGAATACTAGAGTAAATTAAGTTTCACAGTGGAAATGTTCAATAAAAGGAACCCGTTTTCATGCAAGCAAGGATATTTTTACTAAAGAAAATAGTTCAGATGAGAAAGTTGCATTTTCTTAAATTTCTTATTGTTTGATTTGTTCATGAAAATGACTTTCCGTCAATCCATTTCCCTCTCTTTGATTGACGTAAGAAAAACAAGTATTTTTCATTTGACTGTAGCACGAAACAGAGAAGGAAACATATTTTCTTGAAAGATATTCTCTATACAACAAAGGGACCATTAACTCCTTATTTTCAAAGGATAAATCACTTGCCCTGAAATCAATTGGTAGGTAAACAAAATCATAGGTTCCTCTATGGCGTTCATCAATTGCAGCCAACAGCATCTTGGATGTATACCTGCAAGAGAACGAATCAGAGTCTAGGAAAATTATAAGGTTAAAAAAATGAATGTAAATATGGTGGAGAAAAGGAAGGAAATAAAAGCTTGTCTACTACCAAGTCTACAAGTAAAAAACAGCAAAGATTGACATAAACAGCTTCAATCAAAATTAAAAACAAGGCTTCTGAAGAACTACTTAGACGACATGGAAATTGAGTTTTCCAAAAGAAATTTTCACAGAAAGCTAATCTCTTAAAAGAAGACATTTTTAGAAGAAAGTCCAATACAAACTAGGAATAAACTTGCTTAAGCTTCCAGTTCATACATAGGTTCGTTCTAGGTGTTTGTCAGACTTTTTCCCAACATCAATTTAATAAAAAGAAATGCCTTTAGAAATCACATATCCAAAGCTTGGCTGAACCCTCCAAAATTTATTGTGTAGTGAAAGCACAACCCAAAATGTACCAAATGAATATGAAAATGATTGCATTGCAGAAAGTGAAAAAGTAAACACAAAAGGCTAAAGCCATTTAATGTAATTATACATTGCTACTTACTTGTTAGGAATGTTCTTTATCATAAGTGTTGTTCGGTCATCTTCCCCTCTCTTTATGCGGTCAATATCAAGTTCATACTGTTTCTTGTCAGCCAAGTTTGACACACCTTCATTTCTCCGGTTTCTAGTACGTTGTTTGTGAGTCTCAAATGAAGTAATCATATGGTTTCTTCCAGGAAACGTTAGGTCCTTTGGGTTATGAAAATGGAGTCCAAGATTCTTCGGGAGGATTCGAAAGTCAACACAGTTTCCCCCAAAATGGGGAAAGAAATTATAAGAAACAAAGTCTACACAGTGTGTTGTTGTATCACCAGAAAATTGCATATTTCCAAGAGATTCCCCTGCATAGGTATGTCTTCTGTCCCAAAAAGGAGCTGAAGGCATATGTTGGTGGCTATTTATGGGTAAAACAGTGGTCATCATATGAGATGGTGACCTAGGAAGTCCATGCAATCTTGGCAGGGTGGGGGCTGCACATACTCCATCAAAATATGAAGGTGAATTTGACCACATCATTTCAGGAGGCTGATAGGAGTTGCCACATTTGTAATGATAGCCAGGAAGAGGGAAGCTTCCATTACCAGAGGATTTGAAAACTGAGAAAAGGGGGGAAATAAATATGACCAATTCAATATTTCTTATATATATATCTTAAACTTAGCCATTGTTTCCAATGTAGCAACAGGTTGTTATATTATCTATTTCAGTTTTTAACTTACCACATTCATTGAATTCCTTGAAGCGTCCATTGGAGTTTACTGGACAGAACTGCATGGTTTCTATTCTTTCCCGTGTGCTAAGATTGATGCTTGCTGCCACCTCAGGAGGAATACGGCGAACACTGTTAGCTAAACCATCATGAAGTTCTGGAAGGGAATGGGGATGAAAAGCTGATGCATCTTGAACATCAAAATTCAACTGGCCTGGTGAATCAGATTCAGTATCTTCACATCTGTTGTCAACTGATTTAAGTCTGACCACTGATGGTAAAGAGTTGGGAACACTTGAAGAGACTCCATGAACAAAAGCAGTTTCCACAGATGGTGTGCATGTAGCAGGCTCAACACCAAGAATTTTTCCACCATCCATCTTATCAGATTTACAAGTCCCATGCAAACCTGGTCCAATGTAAAAACATCAGTGAGGGAAAATAATATGTTTCTGCTGCTGAATTGACAGTTGATTAGAGCATATTTTCTACCGAGGAAGTTAGTTGGTGACGTAAGAGCAGGGCTGTTCTGATGCAGATAAAAGCTACTTTCTTTCAGTTCATGTACTGAATGGATCTGTTGAACCCTACTGCAGCCAAATGAAAGCAAAGAAACATTAGCAGAACAAAAACTAAATAACTAACAATTAAACTCTACTAAACATTGAATAAAACACTAATAAACACTAAAATGTGAAAGAAGTTTACAAGCAAGATTTGAGTGGTATTGCTGCGTGACAGGATCAATATTGAATTGAGAAAGCATATGTAGAGGAAAAGCACAACTGAACTCAAAGATTACCTCCGTTTTGAGTCTTCAGATAGGCTTGGCTCAACCTTTAGCCTCTTCCTGATACTATCATCTCTATTTAAAGCATGGAGAGCTGCCTCTGCTGCTCTAACATCATAATATTCAATCAACTTGTTATGTTGATCATGTGGGTTTTTACGAATCTGCAGTTCAAGACAGTTAACCAACCACACAAATTAACCTGATCAATATTTGTGCAATAAACTAATTGGTAACCAAACTCACCTCCTTGATTTCTCCATATTCATTAAATATACGATGAAGCTCATTATTCGAAACAGATGAATCATACAAAAAGACCGCAAGAGTGTCCTGATTCATATCTTTCTTGGAAGGACTATCCTGATAAAATTTGAGCCACAAGCAAGACGTCACAATCGAACTCAACGCAAGCAAATACTGTAAGTATTACGGGGATTAGCTTTTCTATTCTAGGAGAGAAAAATTAAAAAGAAAATGAAATAAGCTTCTCCAAAAGTTAAAATTAACTTATACACATAAAAAAAAAATTAAAGAAGCTATATGAGAGAGTTTCTATATTTAGCTTGTGAATAAGCCTAATTTTAACTTACAGAGAGGTTAATTTCAAATTTTCTTCCTAATTTTTTCTTTTTAGAACTCTTTATGGAGAAACTCATCCAAAATCATCAATTTACTTTCACAACTTATTCGTGTCAACAAAAACAACATTTACTGTCAACAGTGATGAGAAATGCAGCATCCAACCTTCGGATTTGAATAATGAACATCAAACTTCCTGTAGCTAAGTTGTCTATTCTGGTGTGTTCTCATTGCATTTTGGGCTGCTCTGATATCATAATATGATATCACAAAAACCCCGTGTTGCTTACAGGCTGTATCAAGTGTTTGAATATCTCCAAATTGCTTAAAATCCAAATCAAAATTTAAAACAAAAGAGAAAATAAATTATTACCACAGTCCACGTATCCACTTAAGCTCTTTTAATGTGAAGTATTGTATGAAGAATTTGTGTACACAAACAAAAAAGGACAAGAAAACAGCAAAAGCATACCTCAAAAAGAGATTTCAACTCAGAATCTTCAACATCAATATTAATGTTTCTCACAACCAATGTTCTAGAAGGGTGTTTATCGTAAGGCTGTTCACCAGCAATTGAGGCACTACACAGCCCTAGTTGACTGTTACAAGCTCCATCGAGGATTTCAGAATTCTTTTGTCCAAAAGATGGACTTTTGTCATCTCCTAAATCCATCCCTCCAACACTACTGAAAAGGTCTAGTTCATCCATGTCGTCACCAGAGCTGTCTTGGATGATGTGGTCAAGCTCAAGCTCATTTGTCACTCCAGAAAGTAAATCATCATCACTGGGGAGTAGATTTCCAATAATTTGAGCCTCGAGTTCTTCAAGAGAGTCAAAAAGTCTCTCTTCCTCGTATTGGGAAGCAACAGTGTCAACAGAATGACCATATAAAGCATTATTTGATAATCTCACTGCACCAATAAAAGTCAAATAAAGGTATTTTAGCTGGTAATTTTCTTTAGAAACCTCAGCATACAACCCAGACTCATAAAAGAACTTAAATTAGAAAAATAGAACCTCATTCACTTGTTCTCATAAATGAGGTGAAGCACACATTAAGAGGCAAATAAAACTTACATTTCCTGCTAAACAACTCCGACAGAGAACTTGAGAAGAGGCTACTCTCATGCTGAGTAGCAACTACATTGCCTTTGCTACGATCTGGTAAATGGGATAATGCGTGTACATTCAAGCTGGTTTTTATTTCTTCATCAAAATCTACATGACACAAAAAGGTCAAAGACTGATTAATATGCCATTTTGTACCAACAAAGTAGTGGATCAATGCATCTCTGAGTCGGTTTCTCTTCTTACACTTAGCTTGACTAGTAATTTTCTAACTTCTAAGTACTTTGCATGTTGTAATACCTTAAGCTGATAGTTGAAGGTATTGAGAAACAAATTAACCTGAAAGCTTATGTGGGTAGAGATGGTTTTTCAGCACACCTTGTCATGCAAAAGCCTTTTGGGCTTGAAGCAAATAAAGGCAAGAGAACTCAGACACAACAAGTCAAGCTCTTCTAGTAATGACTGACCAAGGATAGGTTTTAAAATTGCTCAACCAAGGGAGTCTGGGATCCTAACATAGCAACTTGCAAGTACAAAACGAGCAAATGACTCCTAAATCCTTAACAAAATATATAAAAATTATATAAATTAGGAAAAATGGGTATTTAGCAGCAGATAACTGCAAAACGAATCCACTCTAGTACCGCGCAGTCATGACAAGAAGAACAATAACAGACAGAAAATAGATTAGTAATACTAACCATAACATTTCGGCATGCTATCTGATTTCCATAAGCTATCCTGCGTCTGGAAAGAGAAAGAGAGAAAAAAGGAATAAATAAGGACTGGAACCGCCAACGTTGTTTAAATTCCAAATTTTTAGACATGTCCCCAAAGTAACACCATGTTCAAAATGTAAAATATATATTTAAGATGAAACGAGAAGATACCTCATTAGAAGAACAAATATCTTCAGAGGAAAACAATGATGAAGAGAAACAATTGAAGTCAATTGTTTCAGAAGGCATGATGAATCCCTCAATGTGCAGATAATACCCCAAAAAAATGAAAATCTCCTAACTTTTTATATCTGTTGAGCACAGCATAGCATGGCAGTCAATTCAACACTTTACCTCCCAAGCAAGAAAGCTACGAGGAATTATAAACCTTCCAAGTTCAGCACCCGATTAAAAACATAAAAACTCTTAATTACGATAGATTATGAAAAGTTAAAACTCATTAAACTAAGAAGAATGTGAGATGGGTGTGGTTCCTAACAATTTCCATGTGACATGTTATTATTCTTTTTTGAGAATTGAAAATCATAACTACGTGTCACATGATCACAACCATCTACTTCCAAATCATATAATAATTTCTCATGATCATGACCATCTCATATTAACACGCAACATTAATTGCAAATCCACCGATATTCTGAACGATCAAGATGATGATATCAAACAGTTGAACATCTTAAATTCGCACCCGCCCCGCTCCAAAAAAAAAAAAAAAGCCTAGTTACTTGACCTGTTTAACATTCTAAAACCACATAAGTCAAAACGCAAAACTTGAGAACAGAAGACACAAAAGTTGACGTAAACCTAAAACCCCATGATGGAAAAGCGAAAAGGGGTGCCAAAAACAAAGACAGTACTGACCTTGTGGGGATCGGAAGAGGAGAAGACAGAAGTGGAGGGAAGGGGTGAGAATGAGTTAAATAGTAGTAGTATATGGAAAGAGGAAGAAGAAGTGTGAGAGAGAAAACGAATAAAGTAGGGCATAAGGCAAGGTGGGAATTTGCAAAAAGGGAGGATCATCTTTGTAGGTATCAATGTATGTGTGGCGTGCAAGATCCTCCATCCAAACCTTCCCATAACCTTTTACCGTTCCCTGCATTGCACGTTAACTAACTACTTCAACTTCTCTCCTTTCTCACCTTCGCTTCTTCTTCATTTGCAAACTTCAATGCCATTTGTGAGGTCTCGCCGGAACTGTGAGTTTTCCGGCGGACACGGACGGAGAGATGGTTGTTTTCAGTTTATTCGTTAACGGCGTCAATGCGGTTCATACAAGGTTCTCGTGGAAATGACTTTATTACCCTTCTCACAATGATTGTCTCATTATCCCCACCCTGTCATTTATCCATTAATGTTCGTACGAATATGTTTAACATCTGCATTACATAAAAGTGACTAATTAACACTTTGATTGGATGGATGAAAATTTTAAAGTGTATTTGAATTTTGAACCGATTTTTTTATTATTATTATTTTCTTACAACAAATTGTAAAATTAACAAGAGTGTTAAACTATTTTCTTTTAATATATAAATAATGTAATATAATATCTGATATTGTCAAAGAAGGTTTATCATGATTTTAATAGCAAATGTTAATTTTTTTTAATTAGCACCCTTCAAAGTTCAAGCATTCAATAATTTGAAAGAAAAAATTAATGTAAAATAATAAATAAAGCTTTATTGCCTTTATTATTTCATCAATTTTATTTTAATCTTCTGTTTAAAAATAATGTTTCAATCAAAGAGTTTAAAGTATAGTTTATTACTATTTAATAAGGGCATTTGTAACATTAATTGATTTTTTTTCTTTTTATGGTAACATCAAGAGTCTAGTGTGGTCTAAAGGAATAAAAAGGTTATTCCTTCTTACAATAACAAAATTACTTAAATAATTTCTCATTAGTTTAGGAATGATTTTTTTTAAGTATATTTTTATATTTTAAAAATCCATTTCAAAATAGACAGGGACAATCTAAAATATATATTTAAATGGAAGAAGTTGAGCCCATCAAACCAAAATGGAAATGGGCCATCTTAGGTTCTATTGGATTTCAAATAAACTGAGATATTTGGGCTTTCAATTCTCCAAGTCCCAATGACCCACACAAGAAGAACTAAAATAAAGCTATCGACCCATTGTAGCTTGATTGTGTGAATATAAAATGATTATTCTAACACCTTTTACACGAATCAATTTGATAAAATAGAATATTTTAAAAATATTTTTATAAATTTATTTAGTCGAATAGACTTATTTATAATTTATATATATATATATATATATATATATATATATTTTTTTTTTTTCTCTTCATACATTTTATTATTTTTTTCCTTTCTTTCATAAACTTTTTTTTCTATCTCATTTCTCTTTTTTCTCTCTCTCTTTTCTCTTTTTTTCTCTCTCTTTTTATTTATTATTTTAATTAAAAATACTATATTAAAAGTAATAAAAATATGATAAAGTAAATTTTTTAAAATCAACGTTAAAATTTAAAAAATCAACTATTTTTTTTAAATTATGATGATAATAAATAAATTTATTTATGATTATATAAATAATTAATTTAAATTTATTTTATCGTAATAAATAAATATTAATTAATTAAAATATATAAATATATTTTTTATTTAATAATTTAATTTAAATATAATTAGATTAAGTTATAATGATTAATTAGGTAAATTAAAAGATATATTTATTAAAAAAATGTTACTTTAAAATAAAATTTGATTTTTTCTTAATAATTATGACGTAATAGTATTATTATAATACTTTAAATTTATCATATAATATTTTTATAAATATAATATATTAATTTATAATATTTTTTTAAATTTTAAGAAATTTTTATTTTTTTTAATAATAAGGGATTCATTTAATTAATTAAAAGAATAAAAAAATGTAAATGAAAAGAGGACATTAAGAAAATTAAAAAAATATATATTATATAAAATACAATTATTTTTATTATTATTATATAGTTGGATAAATAGTTTTTGAATATATAAATTATTGGGATTGATTATCATTTACGCACCACAGTAACTTATTTTAATTATTTTAAAATCTCCAACAACAATTTCAACAGTGAATATTTTTTCTGCTTTATTATTATTATTATTATTATTTTACCAACAATTCCTTTACAACTCACTCTATCTCATGATATAGTCTAGACTTTTGATCTGGCGACAGAAGGTCAACGTTAGGATGCGCATATTTTTATCTTTTGAAAAAAAAAAAATATTATCAAACTAAGCACTGAGGTAAAAAATATCACAAATCAAAGCAAAATTTTACAATTTAAAACTTTTCTAAATGGTTTCAAGGTTAATATATGTAATAATAATTGTCTCGTATCCATTCCATCAATAATAATCTACATTAAGAAAGTTAAAATTTTGTTACTGAAAAACTACAACTTAATATTATTAACTCATCCATACAATCACTTATTTTCCTTTCTCAAAACCTTATCATTTATAGTATTTGGATTAAGATTTTTTAGAAAATAACTATATTTATAGAATTTTTTAATTTTTTTAATGAAACATGCTATTTAAATAAAAATATTTAAATATTCACACAATATGATTGTTTTTCTATATATCAAACAGATTTTCTGTTTAAGTTGTTAGTTATTATTTTTTTTAAATGTCTGCAATTTATGTAATCAACATCACTACAAATAATATTTTATAACAAAACTAAATAAATTTAAATTGTCTTATCTAATAGATAATTAAATAATCAGAAAACAATTTAAATTAAGCATGTTTAAAAGTCTAAAAGAATTATAAATTGTTCTATGTAAAAATACAAGTTGAGGAATGTCATAACTGACCTTCGCATAAGAAAAGAAAATAGAATAGGAAAATTGAGTAAAATTCTGAATAAAGTTTATACAAAATAATTTTGTAGCGGGTAAATTTAAATTTAAAAATAATTTGGCGAGAATGTAGAGTAATAATGGTTGTTATGACCGAAAAAATATAATTTAAAATGAAAGATGTTTGATAAAATAATATGGGGTGAATTCTTATACTGCGTCTCTAAGTTATAATATGTGAATAGAAGAGAATGTTTATAAATGATGTTGATTTGAAAATTATAGGAGAGTGAATGAAATAATAAAAATAAAAAAGAAGGGTAAGAATGTGTGTATGAAATTATAATTGAGTTAGTGGGTATGAGTGAATGAAGGGTATGTGAAAGTGCAGGGAAAGAAAAAGGAGAAAGTGGGTTTAATGGAGGGGGCCATCGATAAGCACAAACATTAAGCATTAAGCAAAGATTAGAGGGAAATTATTCGATAAGATAAGGGAGTGGTAGGGTAGCATGCCCTTGTCAAACTCATGGTCCACACATGATGTATGTGTGAATATGTGAATATGAACATCAACAACAACTATTTAAAAGGGGATTTGGTATTATTCCCCCTTTGATTGATGCCACATTTGTTCAAAGTCTCTGTGATCTAAAAACACACCCTCTTTGTGAAAAAGGGTATTGAGATATGAAGGTGTAAAAAAATGAAAAGGGGTTGAAGGTGGAATTTTACACGTTACATGGAACCCTAAACAGGAAGGGAGAGCCACCATTCACATCTCATAGGCTTTGGAAAATGACCAAAAACAGGAATTGGAAAAAAACTAAGGATGGACAATGAAATGAAAGTGCTGTTTCAGGAATTTCATGTCAAACCAACCCAACAAGTAACCTTTACAAACAAAGAAAATCCCATTAATTCAGAATTAAAGATAAGGATATGACCCCAATAAATAGTAATCAATAATAATTATTAATCAAAACAACAAATTAAAAAAAAAAAAACCCTTATTAAGGGGTTAAGGGTCAAAAACATGTTTAGTGTAGTAAAAAAATTAAAAATAAAACCCCAAATTCACTAGCAAAGGCCACAAAACACAAAACCTCCCTCTCTTTCTCTCTATCTTTTTCCTTCTCTTCCTCTCTTCGTTCTTACGGAGAGAAACATAAATAAAACCTAAACCCTTTTTTTTTTTTTTCCTTAACGCCGTAACGGGCAATTCCAAAGGCACCGTCACAGACACTCACGTGCGAGTCACGTGTTTTGGGAATTCTCTTTATCATGGCTCTGGACCAGCCTTCCAACCCCAACGCCGTTGACGGGGCGGGTAACGGTGCTACGCCGTGCTCCGCCGCCGAAGGAGCCGATGACGGGAGGCCGGCGGCGAGGCTGCCGCGCTGGACGCGGCAGGAGATTCTGGTGCTGATTCAGGGGAAGAGCGACGCGGAGAACCGGTTCAGACCGGGTCGGGGGAGCGGTTCGGCGTTTGGTTCGAGCGAACCAAAATGGGCGCTGGTCTCGGCGTACTGCAAGAAGCACGGCGTGAACCGGGAGCCGGTGCAGTGCCGGAAACGGTGGAGCAACCTCGCCGGCGATTACAAGAAGATCAAGGAGTGGGAGTCGCAGGTCAGAGACGAAACAGAGTCGTTTTGGCTCATGAGGAACGATTTGAGGAGGGAGAGGAAATTGCCCGGTTATTTTGATAGGGAAGTGTATAATATTCTCGATTCGCCGTCCACGGCGGCTGCTGCGACGGCGGAGACTCCGACGGCGGCGGTGGAGGCGCCTGGGGAGGAGGAAGTGCACCTGTATGATAGTAATCGGAGAGTTGGGAGTGATGATGGGTTGTTCTCTGATTGTGAGAAGGAGGAGGTTTTGCTTTTAGCCCCTGGCAAGGATGTTCCTGCACCTGTTCCTATATCAGGTTCGTTTTTTAGATTCAATTTTGGACACACCCTTTGTGATTTTATGAACTACTGTTATCTTATTGTAAGGTTTTTTTGTTCATCTTTTTCTTCACTTTTGATATTGTTTATTTGTTGAGAATGATTGCATTGCAGAAAAATTATGGTGAAATTGATGGTAGAAATCTGTCTTATGATTTGGGTATGGTAGGGAAAATCAATTGGTGAGTAAGTGTGCGTTTGGATTTCAGTAATTCAATCCAACACTCACAATGCTTCTCCTTTTATGCATTGGATAGTACACTATCTCCGGTCAGCTGCTATAATGGATTTCCAAACACACTGAGTGACTAAGTGCGTGTTTGTACAACGGATCTCACACATTCCGATGATGCAGTTGAATAAAAGTTTAAACGTCACTGAAGTACTAAAGGATGAAGAAAATTGAGAAAAACTTGATATTGTTAGGAAGGATTTAGTGTGTGTTTGGATTTATCATTTATAATTACATTGAAATACAACTAAGATGGTTTAGGTAAATATTCATATATTTGGTTCGAAGTTATGAAATTGATTATGAATTTATGGTTGGTTTTTTGTTGAAATAACTTTTATGCGGGTTCATATAAATTCTATACTAAGTTTTTTTTTTTATTACCTGGATCTAGAATAAAAACATAAAAAATGATGCAACTTAGTTTAAAATCAATTTAACTTGACTTATTGCGTGCTTGGTCGCACGTGACTTTCTTAAGCAACAAATAGTTGTTTTTGTGGTGATTTCGTGTTGAATTTTATCTTGAACATTGTTTTTCTGTAGCTGATCCAAACACACAATTAATCCTTTAAATCAATTTTGAAATGCTCATATATAGTGTGTTTGGTTTGCCTTTTCAAGACACAAACGATTTTTCACACGTTTCTAACCTGAAAACGGAGAAGCAAGTTTGTTGTTGGATTGGAAAAAAACGGGTTAGGTTTAACCCCACATTTTTCCTAACACATCCATACACACTGAGTTCAAAGTTAAATATTATGCACTATTATTTAATTTATGTAACGGATTCAACTCTTTTGAAAAAGTTTTGGTTGATATTATTGTTGTTGGTAATGTCTGGCGTTTTTTGGTATATGCTAATGTTGTTGTGTTGTCTTTCGTGAAGTTGGAAAGTGTCTAGATATGTTACTGGCTTTCATGGGTTTGGGTTACTTTTCTTTTGTTATGAAAGACCAATTTTTAGTGGGTTTTTCTTTTCTGAATTTTATTTTTTGATTCTAGCAATGATGTTGTTTGCTGCAAAGTTGGAACTTTGGAGTCAAGGGAACTGGGATTCCCATGTTGTATTCTTCAATCATATATTTTTCCTTGATTTTTCTCTTCCTTTCAATTTGCAGAGAAGCAATTTCAACCGCTCCTTCAACTCTGTGAAGGGGAAGGCAATGCTCAAGGTAATAGAGTTTTTTACTCTTTTATTCTTAATGCATTTGAATATTTAATGATGGATTAAAATCATGCTTATTGTTTAGGATTGTAATAATATGATTAGCAGTTGTATCAGCACTGGCACCATTGTCATTGAATGTTGAAACCTTATATTTGTTTCCGAAATGGCTTCTTGTTGTGGTCTGTAGACAGCCATGATATTTCGCGTAAAAGCTTAGGCCCATGGTCTTCCGATATATGACCAACATGATGTAGTAGGCCCTAAACATAGTGCCTATGTTTGTTAAAGGGTATCCAATGTCAATGACAGGATAACCAAACAAAAAACGTGGAAGCTACTTCGGTGTCCTTCCATGTCTTCAAAATATCATGAATTCAGTGCTTATACAAAGCAAGCTAAAAAAAACTCATTTGTGACAGCTTGCTACCTTGTCCGATGTGTTTGTTTCCCATTGTTTCTGTTGCTGCTGCGTTATAATTAATTTGTTACCCATTTTCTGCCATAAATTTATGCTGTTGCCAGGTCACTTTTTTCTTTTCATTCTTTTATTATCCATACTTCTTGTACCACGTTGCTTTTACTGGAATCTAAATCCGATTCTTGTATATCAAATTTGTCTACTTCAGTACAAACAGAATGATGGCTTATTTGAAGATGAAAATGGTAATAGGCTTGCAATAAACCACCTTTTTGCTTTTGGGATCAAGAATTGATAGGATTGGATCATTCAATGTATGATTGGTACTTCATAGTATATTGGAGGCTCATGTATAAAACATGTATCTCTACAGAATAAATTTGATTAGTATTTCATACATTGAATTGGGTGATGTTTACTCGGATATTTGTCAGGATAATGGTGCTTACTCATGCTTACGTTTGCATATTTCGGGGAAGTCATTGTATTGCACTTTATGTCTCATTGTCACTTTTTCTTTTAACATTCCACATTCTAAACCTACCCTAATAGTATGAACAACCATTTTTCGCAATTCATGTCTCAAAAGAAGGTTGTTTTCTTATAATAAATGGCGAGCTATGTATTAGGCGCTAGCTTTCATTATGCTATGGCCTAAACTTTTGAGCTTTAGCTAGGCTTTAGCTTCCGCAGATAGGTTTAGGAATAGGACCAAAGCTTCTATTCTGACAATCACAGTATCATGGACTTAACTGATGACATTATTGTAACTTGACATTCCTTAATTCTTTAGGTACTACCAATGAGAAACGGGCAACCCCGAATCCAGAAATGGGTTCTACATCACAAGGGGGACGGAAGAGGAAGAGATTTGCAACCGAAGCAGAGGAGGAAACATTGCAAAGTCAATTAATTGACGTCTTAGAAAAGAATGGCAAAATGCTTCGTGATCATCTTGAAGCTCAGAACACCAATTTCCAGTTGGACCGGCAGCAGCAGAGAGACACTGCAACTAACATAGTTGCTGTACTTGATAAGCTTGCAGATGCTCTAGGGAGAATTGCTGATAAATTGTAGAGCAAGGAGGGTTAAATAGAATAGTGTACAGTACAATTGGAGTCAACAATAGTGGTTCCCATAATTTATATCAGGATAGTTTCTAGAAGATGAATGTCACACACTAGTTACCTCCTTTTCTTTATCTCCAGTCACTGCATAATGTCACTTTTTTTAGTGGTTTATTACTCCTGCTACAGCATTTTATACACAAATTTGGAGGTTTACTACATTTATTTATTCTCTTCTTTCGGTGAGGTTATATAATGAATATTTCCCGGTCAATAATAGCGGTTGTACAGATATATTACTATTACCAATTAAGGTACATTTTTGTTAGTGGTATCTCTTTGCGTACTCTTGCAATATTTTGCTTCTCTTGTATAAGTCATCTTTCCACAAATCTATAATTTTTTCCGTTGAGTTAACCATACTATTGGCAAAAAGGAGTCTAGTTCATCAGATTTGTCCGTTTTACTTTTCTTATAACACCAAAGGAAAAAAGCGGAACAGAACCGGTTAACCTCAGGTAAATTGTTTTTGTTTTTATATTGGTATTTTTGTGACATGTTCGGTCTAGATTCATGGATTTAACTTGGTTTAGTTTTTTTATTTTTCTTTTTTTCTTTTCTATCTTTTATTTTAAAAAGATTTGCTTTTGGCATCTCAGAATCTACCAAATAGAAACAAATCTATCACCGGTGCATATGTTACATCATATTATTGATCACGGTGGGTTTTTATTCTCTCTCTGCGTGCACTTTCTTAAAAATAATCAGTTTTTATGTTTTGAACTGTGAAAATAAATAGAGAAAATGGAAGAAATAAGAAACGAGTGAAAAGGGGAATTATTTGAATGAAAAAAAAATTAAGACAGAAGTTATATTATTTGTGTTTAACAAATTTTTATTATTTATTATTAGTTTAGTTATTTATCATTATAATATAATAATAAAAAACCTATAATCTATTATGGAATTAAAACAAACGAACATAACTTTTTATATAAATAATCGGATCATTTTATTTTCTTGCAAAGAATATTTTGTTATGAATCCCATCAAACTTTCTTCCTACAACACCTCATGTAAAACACCCTCTCTCTCCCCATCCACTTCACAAATCTGAACTCTTTCCTCTCTCCATCTTCCACATTGCCTTTTAAATATAAGGTCAGATTAGCTGCTGCACTGTTATTTAAGTTTATCTCTGAATCTGCATTTCAGAGCTTTTCTATTATGATTTGATCACACCAAACACCAACAACATCTCAATAATGCACCAAGTTTTTGCTCTTGCTGAAATCCAAAACGTGATTTGAGAGGGCCTTAAGATTTAATTGTTCCAAATGAGTTGTTACAAGAAAGATTTAATTGTCAGTTATGTTCAAGCATTGAATTCACAAAATTCCATACAATGTCTGTCTGACACACCAAAATACAAAGTTAAGAGTCACTGGTTCCATGTTTAAGCATGAAGTTACTACTAGTAACATTTCAGAAACAAAGTGCAACAACAAGATTTATTCTTTATTCAATATTAAAAAAAGAATTACACAATGGAAACTGCTGAAATGTGGGGATGTTATTAACGTGTCAGGTAAATTAATGTGTTAAAAAATATGTTTTTTTTTTTAATTGCACGCATTAATTACATGCATGATATTACAAAAGGACAAAAGAAGGGGCATTTTAATCTCAATTACTTTAAAACCATATGCAACCTTGTGGAGATAGATTCTCAGTAAATAGTACATGTACCATATAGGTTATATTTGGAAAAAGATTGAAAAAAAAAACAATTTATTATATTATTTTTTTTATAATAAAAATAACATAAAAAAATTGTTTATATGTTTTCAGACAATTGGATATAGTTTTTAATTTAATTTTGGATTATTCATAAGACTATGAAAGCTCCAGGAAAAAATATATAATTTTGATCTATATTTTAAAATAAGTTATAATTTTTAAAATAATTTTAAATTAATAGATAAATTTTAACGAAATTTTTTATTAATATATCTACATCCAAACAATTAATTAAAAAGTATTTGAATAAAATATATAAAATATATTGTTAAATTATATTAATAAAATTAATTTTTATTTTAAATATAATTATTTAATATAAAAATTATAAGATAATAGATTTCTTCATTCTCAAAATAAAATTTAAAAAATTAATTTCCATTTTTATAATAATCTAATAATTAAAATAATAATTCATTTAACTATTATTAAATATATTTAAAATTTATTTTTAAAATAAATAATTTGTTATCAAATTAATTTATAATATATATATATATAATAATGTTTTTAAATAATAATTATTTTATAAAATAAATTGAGTATAAATGTATAAATTAATTTAATTTAAATATAATTATATCATATAATATAAATGAATTGAAGGAAAATAAATTTGATTTTATTTAATTTATAACCTTTTTAACTTATTCTATTTCTTGTATATATTTTAGACTTGTTAATCGAAAAAAGTTTTTATATGATAGATAAACTATTTCATAGATTTTAAAATACAAACTAAAAGTTGAAATATTACTTTAAATAGAATTAAAAATAAGAAATATATAGTAAAATAAAGCCGCTCATCAAATACTGTTATTTTAACTAACTAAACTTATAAATTAACAACATAAATTAGGAATCATAAATTAATTAAAATTAGTTGTATTAATGCATTCGTGTTCTGAACTGAAGCAACACAAATGTATATTGTCAGGGTTTTTGCGTAAAGAAAATAGGAGTAGTACGCAAAAACAAATTATAGAAAACAAAAACACAAAATTTTGAAATAACAAAAAATATAAAAAAAGGGAAAAGAAGATAGATTATTGTTGAAGTGCATGCGAGGAGTTCTATTGGGAGGAGGAGAGAGAGTGGGGCCGACCCACGGTCAAGGAAATGGAGGGAACTGGGCTTTGGCCCACAAACCATTCCCTCTTTACAGTTTACACAAACAAACAATTCCTCAGACCACGCTCTGCTGTGGCGAGTGCAGCAACACCACTCACTCATCAAACAAGGCCTTGTTTGTTGCTGGTTTTGGGAAGGTGTGAGTGTAGAAGAAGAGGGTTAGATTATTAGAATAATAACGCCGTACGACAGCGTACAACCTTGTTTTTTCTTTACACCGATCTCATGTTTCAATTATCAGTTTCAAGACCTAGTAAAAAATATTCAAGTATTTCAATTCAAGAAAACACGCATAAACAAATCCAATAGCTAGGTTATAAGCTATTGAAAGTAACTTCTAAGGGGTGGAATCATTTATGAAACATCTTCTTGGGGAAAATACTCGTTGTTGCTAAAGAAAATCTTATTCAAATTGATTGGATAAGATTATTGGCAACAAAATCTTACTCAAGTTATATGTCCAAAATCATTAAAAAAAAAAAATCTAAAATTTGAAAACAGTGATTAAGCTTAGAGAGGGGGTGTGAGTGAGAAGAAGAAGGTGATGGTAATTATTACTAGGGTATTATAATAATATGATTAAAAAATGAGAAAATGAAAAGGGAAAGATAAAAAAGAAAAAGAAGGGGGCAAGAAAGGGAAAGGTGCACGAAAAGGAAGTGAATGGGTGTGACTTTAGTCCAAGAGAGTGTCTGTTACACACATGGGATTCCAGAATTTTGGTTGGATTAGTGAAGTTTTTGTTAAACAATTCCCAATATACCTTTTACTTTCTCTTCCTTTCATTTCATTTCCCTTGTTTGCTCAGAAGAGAAACAAGATGCAGCAGTGACACCAACACACACAACACAACAGTGAACAGCTCTTAGTACCCAACACGCATCAAAATCAAATCACATGTTACCTCCAACTCCAAGCTTGTCTCTCAGCTAGGGTTTTCAGTTCGCCACCAAATCCAACTCAACTCCACGCCCCTGCAAATGGTCCTCTTCGTCTTCGATACTCCGATTCCGAGATCGAGCATTCGTGCCGCGATAATGCAAAACCATACCTACTCTTAGACGAACACAACCACCAACAACGCGCGAATCCTTTGTTCCAATCAAAATGCAATTTGCCAAGCTCGATGACTCTCCTATGTTCCGCAAGCAGGTCATTCCCTCATTTTTTTTTTCTAGAACTTTTTTTTTTTTAGTTTAATTTGTTACAGATTACTTTTGATGTTGTGTGTGCAATGTATAGTGGGTTTTGTTTGTCTTTGAGCTTGATCGGGTGGTTTTAAGGGTTTATTGAGTAACGATGTTAGGGAATGGAAACTTGATTTTGTGCATGTTTTGGTCTTGTTAAATGGAATGTGAATATTCTGAAATCTGAATGGTCGTATCGAGCTTTGTTTGTGCTTGGAATCTTAAGTTTCTTTTTTATTCTGGGAAATTCCTCAAAAGGAAACGAAGTGGTTCCCTTCGTGCGATTCTCTGTTTTCTTGTAATAGTTCTGGGCCTGCTGTTTCCGTTCATAGATTTATGGTATGTACTTCTGCCACGCGTAGTGAGGGAAGTTCCGGAATCTGGAAGTGAATCTTTAATTTACGGTTTATTGCCCTCTGAGGTTAGTCAAATATGGATGGATATTTTGCACTTGGCACACTTGATCAGGCGCCAAGGATGGGATTTAGAGAGCTTCAGTGAGCAGTGCGCAATGAGTAGTGAGAGTGAGAGAGGCATCAGTGTCTAGCAATAGCCATGTCAAGAGAGTCCTCGTGCTTTGACCCCTTTGTTACTCCATCACTAGTAGGGGCAAGAAGACCTGGTTGCCGATAGGTGGGAAATTGTTACTACAAGAAAGCTTCCTCATCTTCTATTCATATGGCAGGCACATACAAATTTATCTCATTTTACTCCATAAAAAATGACTCCCTTGCAACCTACAAACCGAACTGATCCGTATGTTACTTTTATAGAGTGTTTAGTGCATGGCTCTTTTTGGTTACTTCACCAACTTAACCATTAACCCCCTGTTATATGTGTTAAATCATAGTGGTGTTCTCTTAATAAACATCCATTCTTATCTAATATTGGTTGTAAATCTTGGCAAATTTTGGTTGAAAGATCTGATAATTGGAATTCTTTATAAATTTTGAAATTTAGTGGCTATTTTCTATGGTTATTGTAAATGGTGGTTGGAGCTATTTATCCACTACTTTGGCATAGTATGTGTGATAATTTTGGTGCTGTGCCCACATCCAAGAAATATGCTGGTCTTTCCATTTCTTCCCTTTGTTTCATAAGTTTCATATAATACAGATTGATAGGTTTTCTCTTAACTGACTTGATGTTACTAAGATTGCTTCTCCTTGAATTCTTTGGTGAACAGATACAATGCATGGAGGAAAGTGCTGAATCTTTAAGAGAGAGAAGTTTAAAGTTTTACAAAGGATGTAGAAAATACACGTATGTATTTCTTTGAGTCTTGTCATTGTACTGATAAATAACGACGAACCTGAGAACATACTGAATTGCTCACTTAATATCTCTTGTCCTTTTGTTTGTGGAATCATTTCTGCCATTCAAATTGCAGTTTTTTTTTTATTTGCCTTTATTTTTTTATATTTCATTTCATTTTCTTTTAATTTCTTTTAGTTCTGGATTAGCTTAGCTCTTTTGCCTTTTAATTTCTAGTTCTTTGATTGTTTATTTTCTTCATGACTAGATGAAATCAGCTTCAAATATACTTTTTTTTTGGATAGAAAATGTTGTTTCGATAATGAGGATGCAGAGGGGATAAAAGAAGAGGGTGAGACGTTCTTAACAAAGGCCTGAATAAATTGCAGTGAAAGCAATCAATATAGTTGAATACCATAGATTAGAATGAAAAATCATACATGACAACATGTTTAAGGACAGAAAAGTAGTTTTGTATGTAGGAGCATTCCCTTTCAACCAAACAACATATATGCTGCTTGGCATCGTAATATTTTAACTGTCTTTTTTGTGCTTAATATCGAACACAAGAACTTCTACATGAAAGTGGTTATTGGCAATGTAAAAGTAGATGACGTTTTGATTTCCAAGCTAGTCCCTGTTGGCACTGAAACTATCCTTTCAACAGCATCCTGTACTTTTTTTTATCTCCCAGAACATTTATTTTCATTAGCACAGAGTAAATATGCTACAATCTTTTTATAAAAAAATTAATAGTTTTTTCATTAGGGAAAAGGAAGAAACTGTTAATTCTACTTAATAGTTTTGTGTTACACTACTATATTCTCTATGACGGATGTTCCTCATAGTATTTGTTCTACGATATTTTTCTATTCATCCAAAGGAAAACTTTAGTGGCTTTTTTTTCCCCTTATAAGTTGTGAGGAGTATCTGATAGCTTATTACTACATATTGAATATTGATTTCAAAGTTGTTAGGTATGTGTTTTCCTTATAGACTTCAATTTCTTTCACTGTTGTACTTTCCAGTGAAGGACTTGGGGAGGCCTATGATGGAGACATTGCATTTGCTAGTGCCCTAGAAACATTTGGTGGTGGACATAATGACCCAATCAGTGTGGCTTTTGGAGGTATGCGCCCCTTCTACATCAATCTTATGATGGTTGATGAAGGTTCTCTGTTCCTCCTGGTTGATTTTGTTTCTACTTTTGGCACCCCTGATGAGCTGTCAATCATAAAAATGATGACTTTAATTTCAGTTCTTAGTGAGATAATTTGCTTTCAGTTTTTCTCTTTAATTTAGTGACTGCTGACTGCGTGGGATTAACTGACATCATAATTTGAATTTCTACCTTAAACACCGAAAGTCTATCGGCGATATAATATTTTCTGATTGAATTTCCACCTTCATTCCAGGCCCTGTTATGACCAAATTCACCATAGCCCTTAGAGAAATAGGGACATACAAGGAAGTTCTTCGATCACAGGTAAACTATTGTGTAGTAAGTGCTTTTTAATACTTACCTAATGATGCATTTTTAAAGAGAGAAAACTTAAAAAGGAGGATCTTTTACATCAATCTTTATGTAACATTCTTTTATCATAGTGAAACTATTCCTTTCCAAACAGAAAGAGAAGAAGAAAAAATACTCATCAATAATTAAGATCTGTTGTGTTGCCAACAATTATGTCAAACTGATTCCCATTATGACCTTTAGCAGTTAGCTAATTGGGAGTTTCATCCTGGATATTTGTCCCATATCCATCAGTTCTTGGTGACCCAATGTCAGCCATACTTCTAACATAGATTGCTATTTCCTGTCAGGTTGAGCATATGTTAAATGACAGATTGATTCAGTTCGTCAATATGGATTTGCAAGAGGTCAAGGTACTTTTTTTTTTTTAATAAAGAAAAACTATTGTAATAATTTCTGTTTACCCTGTCAGTTAGATGTTTACAAAACGGATGTCAGAACTGATAGACTTTTCTAGTAATAGTATGTAGACCTGTGAAGAGATAGGCACAGAATTGGTTTTGGTTTCGTTTGGATGTTTAGGAACATCAAATTGTAAGAATTAATTTTCTTATTTCCCCTAAAGCCCTACATGGGAGCTGCTAAAAAATAATTATTTCCTCAAAATAAGCTAATCCATACATGCAATCGATTGATGGTTTGCGAGGAAATTCTTTTGATGCGCTTGTGAAAAGTATAGCTTGTCAAATTATTTGGATCTTTCAACAAAACTGCAGGATCCTTTTTAGGAGCTAAATTTCTCTCCCTACTATCAACTTTTAATACTTCCATTTTAAATGAGCTAAATATGTAGGTTTCAATTTCCATGTTAAGATTTTGTGATTGTGAGTATAGGAAGTATTTTAGACATTATAACTTATATATGGTTTTTGTCTTGGTAATGTCAGTTCTACATATCACCTAATATTGAGAATAGTTGATGTATACTTTCTGTGAACAATTTATGCACTTAGTTTCTGCACTAAGGGATCCTCTCTTAATGCAGGAAGCACGGAAACGTTTTGACAAGGCTAGCCTTATCTATGACCAGGTGCATTCTTAATCATAAGTTTTTCTTATTTTCTTATTTTCCTCCTGAGTTGAAAAATATGGATACTAAGCGGACTGCCTATGATAATGATTCATTCAAGTAGATAGAAATCAGTAGTGATATAATGAATTTAACAAATTGAATTGACTATTAAGATGAAACAAAATCTCAGGTCTGTTCTTAAAAAGCAGAAATGAAACTGGTGCTTGGCAACATGTATTTTTCATAATTTATCACTTGTATTGGATGTGGTGCTATTGATGGTTTACCTCTTAAAATGCACATACAGTAACCAGCTAACTTGTTTTGGAGCAAGCAGTGTTAGAAGCTGTAAAATCAAGTTTCACTTACAATTTTCTATTCTTGCAGACTCGTGAGAGGTTTCTGTCACTAAGAAAAGGCACAAAAACTGATGTAGCTACTGCACTAGAAGAGGTAGGCCTTTATGTGTCTTACATGTTGATTCAGCTTAGAGTCATTCTGGTATATGCGATTCTTTAAACCATTAAATGTTTGGAGATGTTTCAGGAGCTTCATAGTGCAAGATCTACATTTGAGCAAGCTCGGTTTAATCTGGTTAGTAAATTCATTTGACCAGAAGCACATAAAATGTTTACTGTTCCCATGACATATGTTTTCACAAATTCACTCAAAAGAGTCTTTTGTCCAGGTAACTGCCTTGTCAACTGTTGAAGCAAAGAAGAGATTTGAATTTTTGGAAGCAGTCAGTGGGACCATGGATGCACATCTTCGTTATTTCAAACAGGTAGACATATTGGTTAAATTATTATTTTTCTATATTCTGTCTCATCCCATCTTCAATTTTTCACATGTAGGGGTACGAGTTGTTGCACCAAATGGAGCCATATATCAACCAGGTTTAGGATGACTTTTGTCTTTACAATATCATTTTTTGGTCTCTAGAAGTACATGTCATTGTAATAACATTTATTGAGTGGTATATTGCGGGTGATTAATTTGCTAATGGTTGAGTCAATAAAAATAAAATTGATTCATTCCAGGCAAGTTGTTTTGCAGGTCTTGACTTATGCTCAGCAATCAAGAGAAAGGTCCAATTATGAGCAGGCAGCCCTAAATGAAAGAATGCAAGAGTACAAACGACAGATTGATCGGGAGAGTAGGTGGGCATCAAATGGTTCTAATGGGTCTCCTAATGGAGATGGTATACAAGCCATTGGTAGAAGTTCACATAAGATGATAGAGGCAGTCATGCAATCTGCTGCAAAGGGAAAGGTTGAATCTAGGCCTGGAAATTGTTGATTGAAGTTGTTAACAATTACTTTCAGTGATTTACTTTTATAATTTTCTTGGCTTTTCATTATTTAAGGTTCAAACAATTCGACAAGGTTATCTCTCAAAGCGATCCTCAAATTTAAGGGGGGACTGGAAAAGGAGATTTTTTGTTCTTGATAGTCGGGGAATGCTATATTACTACCGTAAACAGTGCAGCAAATCATCTGTAAGAAGTGTAATGGAAAAAATAAGTTGGTTTTTGAAGTTTTAAGTCAAAATTTACTCTGTATAACAAATTTCACCTCATTTTTTGTGGTTGTTAATGATGTACAGGGGTCCAGTAGTCAACATTCTGGCCAGAGGAATAGTTCTGAGCTTGGTTCTGGACTTTTAAGTCGATGGCTGTCTTCTCATCACCATGGTGGAGTACATGATGAAAAATCTGTTGCTCATCACACTGTGAACCTGCTTACATCAACAATCAAAGTAGATGCTGACCAATCAGATTTGAGGTTTTGCTTCAGGATCATTTCACCAACAAAGAACTATACTTTGCAGGTTATTTGATGTGATTTTTTGGATTTTCTTTTTAATTCATACAAGGATGGTGAGTTAGGCTTTATAGTTTCATTCCTTAATTATGCTTGTCAGTGCAGGCAGAGAGTGCGCTGGACCAAATGGATTGGATTGAAAAAATCACTGGTGTTATTGCCTCATTACTGAGTTCTCAGATTCCTGAAAGGGTAACTTCCAAGAAATTTTGTTGATCATGAAGAAATACAATATTAGTGATAAGTCTAATGTTACAATTGTTATCAGATGTTGCCTGCGAGCCCAATGGGAAGTGGTCATCATAGGTCTACCAGTGAGAGTAGTTCTTTTGAGAGTTCAGATTTTGATCACTCTGCTGTTGAAGAATGTGCAGCAGATAGAAGTCTTGCTTCTGCACATCTGGAGCGACCCTCAAGAAGTTTACAACAGCAGCGATCCTGCACTAAAAATGAAAAACCAATTGATGTGCTGCGAAGAGTTTGTGGGAATGATAAATGTGCTGATTGTGGTGCTACTGAACCTGATTGGGCATCACTAAATCTTGGTGTTCTTGTTTGCATTGAGTGTTCTGGCGTGCACCGGAACCTTGGTGTGCACATATCAAAGGTAGACCACACTAGTGCAATCTAACGATCTTTGTTTAGGTTATATCTGCAAACCATTTGTTTACTTTCTAATATAATTTTTATGGGTTCTTAACAATGAGCATGGTGTAATTAAAGAAAAAGGTGATATAAATTGTGTAATTTAGAGCAGTTGATTGTCTTTCTGAAGTACCACAGTTGAAGAGCCATTGTTGGTCTAGTTGATAATTCCCAGAAAATCCAATATCAGCAAACAGAGCTCTTTGTTGGATAACAGAGGGAAGGGAGAGTTTTCAGTATTTTTTTTTCCCTGTAAAAAATATATTTAAGTTGTATCTTGTTTGTTTAGTAGGGATTGATTCTCCTGTTTTCTGTGTCTTCTCTTCTGATAAATTCTTCAGAAAAGAACATTTTCTTCAAAATCTAACTTTCCTAATATACTATGCATAAGATATGTATTTATAAAATGCAACCCACTATGTGAGTGTCTTTCATTAGATAGTAGCTTAGAGATTAAATTTATATTGAGGATTGCAATTTAAACCAATTTTTAGCAGTTTGGGTGCTCCTTATTATAGCAGATAATTGATTTTTTTCCTACATTACATAATGTCAATGACTTCATATATATATATATATATATATATTGGAGAAGATATACTTCTCTTGTGAGAACTATGAACATTTGAACTGGGTAAACGTAGGGAACTCCTGGTTGCATATGTAGGAATATTTTTTTCACTGATCATGTTTTCTTGTACATTTGTAATTTTAGAACCAAAAAATCTTTGGTATCATATAAAATCAACACTTGTGCTTGGTTTGGATATTTGGGTTTTAGCTGGCACTTTCATTTTGGGATTAGACTTTAGATTGATCATTTAGCTCCATCTCGCTTTGTTACAGGTCAGGTCTCTTACTTTGGATGTTAAAGTGTGGGAACCTTCTGTCATAAGTTTATTTCAGTCTCTTGGGAATACTTTTGCCAACTCAGTCTGGGAAGAATTATTACAATCAAGAAGTGCCATTCAGGTTGATCTTGTCCCTACAGGGTAAAGAATCCCCATTATTATATCTTTGCATTAAAGCGATTGTTATTACTATTATTATTGTTTGACCATGTATTGCTGATATTTTCTTCTACTATTGTGAAGCTTAAGCAAGTCTGATAAACCGCCGTTGATGTTCTTCTTCCCCAAACCTTGTCAATCTGATTCTCTATCAGTGAAGGAAAAGTTCATTCATGCAAAGGTACAACGATACTCTGCGTGTACAATTTCAACTCTTGCTGACAGAGAGAGATATTCTGGTTTTGTTCAGAAAAACCTGTGAAAGGGAAAGTTTTAGGGAAAATGTGACAGGAAGGAGGACAAAGGTTTTGTTGATTTTGGATAAATTTAAAGTATTGTTAGCTCTAGCAAACATATCCAGTTTTCAGTTTAGACTGTGCAACCTAAGCTGCAGGATAGAAGAAAGTAGGACTCACGATTTCTTGGGCATGGCATAAAAGTGATGCATCACCTGTCCAGTGGTTTGTGTTTCTGTGATATAAGCACTTCAGCAGCAATCAATGCTAATTGGATATATCACTGGACAAAACTTGTGGCAGAAACTTGGAGACTAAATTCTCACTGTGCTGACTGCTTATAAGTTTTACTTATTTATGAAAATACACTCTTTATTAGTTGCATTAAAAATTTGTACAAACAAGTACAGGTAATAGAAAAGTAATTTTAATATTTAAATTTTAGAGGTAATTTTAAAACCTTATGTTTTAACATATCAGCTTAAGCTTTTGGGGTAGTTGATTCATGACATGGTATAGGAGCCTCTATGATCATGTTATCTATAGTTCAATCCTTAACGTCCCTTTCTTCTAAGAATAAAAGTTAATTTTAGCACCAAGTAGGTGAGTATGTGCATTATGCACACTTCAAGCCCAATGCCTCTTGCATGAGAGGTATTATAAGAAACATTCATGTGTTTTTTCTTTTTACCTATCAGCTTAAGCTTTGGGAGTAATTGGTTCATGGAAAAAACACAATTTAATACTTCCTTTTTCAATTCCTTCTCTCCTTCAACTTTCTTTTGAAGCCGAGCTATGGTATTTGCTACAGAATATTGCTTTTATCTGCCATAATATATTCCAAATATATATGGTTTATAGTCGTATCATTTGATATTTTTCTGCCGTTGCCAGTGATGTAATGCATGGGAGTCTATAGAAAACAAATGTCCTTCAAGATAGATGTTTCCATTAAACCTGAGTTTGTGCCGGTGTAGATATCACTTATCAGAATAATTTCATTTTATGATAATATGTGGATTCATCTATTCATAATTTGGTGGACATTTTGAACAAAATTATCTAGCAGAATATCCATGTTTCTTGTTAGAGAACTCGTTTGAGCACTCTTTCATATTTTTATTACTAATTTGTTAATTGAGACTGGAAAGGGCATAGTGAGTGGGATGGTGCTCTCAATTTGACTTGTTTGCATTTTGGACTGTAAGCTAAACCCCTGAAGACTTATGCAGTATGCTGGCTGTACTTATGTATTTATTTGTTTTTATAATTTTTTTCCTTTTATGCTACCTTCTGATTGCTGTATCTTTTATTCCCTGAACCATTTCTGTTTTCATGGCAGTATGCAGAGAAGCTTTTTGTTCGCAAGCCAAAGGACAACCGTCTCTTGGTGGCACAACAAATATGGGAGGCTGTTCATGCTAATGACAAAAAAGCTGTATATCGGTACATTGTTAATTCTGACGTTGATGTTAATGTTGCATATGAGCAAATGTGCAACAGCTCCCTAACCCTTGCCAAAGTAATGCTATTACAAGAGCAGACTAGCCATGATCACAGCTCTACATTAGCAGGGAACACGTTGGACTGGTCCCCTAGTAAAGAAGGCCAGGTCATGGACAATCTAGATGGGTGCACCCTACTTCACCTTGCATGTGAAACTGCAGATATTGGCATGGTTGAGCTCCTCCTACAGTATGGTGCAAATGTTAATGCAACTGATTCAAGAGGTCAAACGCCACTACATCGCTGTATTCTCAAAGGCAGATCTGCGTTTGCAAGACTATTGCTTTCAAGGTGAGTCTGATGCAACATCATAATGATTATCTATCTGGTGGTTCTTCCAATAATTTATCTCGTCAGCTATAACTTTTTTAGTCATTTAAATATCCATTCCAGGTACTAATGGGCTGTTTGTTAATTCGATTAAAGTTTCATACTTATTTTCTTTATAGTTTTGACTCATTGATGATATTGAAATCTTTAAAAATGCAGGGGAGCCGATCCTCGAGCTGTGGATGAGCAGGGAAGAACCCCAATTGAGCTTGCTGCAGAGTCAAATGCTGGTGAAAGAGATAACCATGCTCCATTAAATGATTCTAATGGATGAGAGTGATAGGCAAGTATCACGGAGTTTGTTACATATATAAAATATGGAAGATTGGATTATGTAAATTTGTATTTCATAAATTGAAAAGCTGGGTTTTTTTTTTTGAAGTAAAATGTCACTAGTGTGAAAGATTAAGGGAGAGAGGTAGGTTGAAATGCCTGCCCCTTAGTCATCTTGTGGAAAAATAGAGCTAAGATCTGTAATGTAAATGGCCACATTGGTCTAAGTTGAAGAGTTTTGCTGCACTGGTAGCGCCCAGCCAGCACTTTGTAATATGATGTTTGTGTATTTTTGTTTACTTTTGAGGTGAAGCTGCGATGCACACTAGGCTAGGGATTTGTGTATGTTGTGTACATTGGTTTTTGTGAAGGTGTTGTGGCTGTAATTCACTTTTTTTTTTTTTTTTGGATTATTTGGTGGGACATGCACCCAGGATGTCATGTCCCTAGCTCTCTTATATTCTGATGTATTCGTGAAGATAATATATATATTGTCAAAGGCAAAAAGATAAAGAAAACTATCAATCACCTGCCATTTTAGAGTGACCCCCCTACCTCGCAAAAAAAAAAAACTCAAATCATTGTAATTTAAAAAAGTTTCAGCCTTGAAAAGACTGTGTGGGACACCATGTTTGAATGCATGGGAAATTTTTGGTCAATTGAATCAAAAAGTAAAGTGGTCCATTTCACCCGCAGTTTTCAATACTGGAGAATTAGGGGGAAATAATACGTGGTATGTTCCGTACCCAACAATAAATAATTACGGTTGCCGAACAAATCCAACAGTTAAGAAAAGAAAAAAACGCAGTTTTTGTAAGCTTGTAATGAGAAATTTCACTGTTTTACATAAAGCATGTTTTATGGACTAGACATACTGTGAAGAATCAAGTAGGTTACAGTGAGCAACACTCATGTTGACCTAACACTGCTATGAACTAAACTCAACTTTTGTCACGAGTGACCTCAACATAATTATCGATATTAGTGACGGAGTAACAACACCTTGAATGGACCCTCTTTCAAATATACAAAGCTATATTGAATTGGTCTTTTAGTGTAAAAAAAATAGTCTTTAAAAATATGAACATAATTTTTTTAATTACAAAAATTAATGTTAACTTGATTCCAAGAAAATTTTCGCATACATTCAACATTTTAAAATTAAAAAAAAATAATACAATTTAATATCTTAATATTGTAGTACAAGTGCAAATTTTTTTTTTAATGTCATTTTTTTTATTATTAAGAGAAAACTTGATGTTAATTTTCATCACAATTAATATCTCTAGTATTTTAATAAGGTGAAGTTGTTTTACTTATAAAAAATAAGACCACAAAATCACTGAATTTTTTATTTATGGAATATGGTCTTCATCGTGGGAGGTCTTTGGATAAACTTGTTAAAAATTACTTATAGAACAAAATTAAAGGGATAAATAGATCTACGTTTCTATAAATGAAAATCAACTTAGGTAAATAAAAAATTTCCTTAAAGCTGAACGGGATAAGTTTATCTTCACTTGAGCAAAAAGTTTGATTCATTTTACCCGTAATTTTTCTTTTAATAATCAACTCTTTTTATCTAAACTGAAAATCACACATTGTGGAGAATACTTTCAAAGGGAAAATGACTTCTTTGTCTAGCGTGTGTTTTAAGGTGGACATTTTGGTACGCAAGTTTGATTAACTATTAATTAAATAAATTTAAAAAGGTCATTTTCACATAATTCTATTCCCTAGCAGGAATTTATGACTATTGGGTCAAACCAAACCATACAATGCCTTGTGTAAATTGTTCATCATCAACCAAAAATTTGACATTCAGTAAGACACCACTGGTCTTGATCTATGACTCTATGAGCCATGAAAATTATTGTTCCACCTAATCTGTGAATTTCCCAATCTAAACTCTTCATAAAGAATGGACCTAACTGTATCCATTTATATATCCCTTTTTATAACTTGAAAAATTTGTTTTTAAACCATTAAATATAGTTATATATTATTATCTCAAAGAATGGACCTAACTACGTTTTTGTTTCTTTCATTCAAAGAATAAAATTCAAAATTCTACATTAAAATATAAAAAAAATATATTCCTAATTTTAATCTAAAGATAACCTTATTCATATTCCTCGAGAGTACTCTCAAGTAAAAATCTGGCTAAAGTCATTCCTAATCCTAGCACCTTCCATCGATGATGAGATAGAAAAAAAGAGAGAGAAGCAAGAAAAGATAAGATAGAAAGAAGCAAAAGCAAAAAAGCATGCAAGAATGAATAGATATAAAATATATAATTGAAACGTAAGTAATTAAAGGCAATTATTTGATCGAAAAAAGAGATAACTTTACTAATGACACACACCAAACATAACACATAGCTAGAGTTGTTAACCACTCACTCATAGCATATCACAAATTCCCATGCAACTTAGTTCAACGGCCCATATGCATTCTGATGAGATCAGACGGTCCAGGAGAACTGTATATTGCCCCTCTCACGGATTTCGATGTTTCGCTTTCGGACCAAACGTGGGCCCCACATCGTACTGTGTCCTCAGTGCTGGCTCCTCACAAAGGCGGGAACCAGTTTTTTGTCGCAGAGGTATGGCTCTTTGTTGTCATCAGACAGAGAGAGAGAGAGAAAGAGAATGTAGAGAGAGAAACAAGAGACAATCACTGAATCACTCTACATGCTGTGTGCGTGACTCTGTCACTGTGTGTGTGTGTGCTTAAGCACCTAAATCCAATGACATTGTGCAGTTTCTGAGGAGCGTTTTTTTTGTGTCTGTTCTAGTTGCTGTTATTGTTGTTGTGGTTCAAGTTTGGTTACTACCACATGCTCATCATGCCCCTTCAATTTCTGTTCAACTTTTTGACTTTCTATTTGGTTTCCAAGGAAAAAGATAGCAACTTATTTCTGGGGTAGTTTGCTTTTGGTTCGGTTTGTTAGTCCCTGCTGACACCTGGGAATAGTGGGGTTGTGGTTTATTTTTGGTTTTTCTTTTGGAGGTTCAAATTCTTGTTCTGATTCTTGAGAAGGTGGAAAATTTGTTAGTGGTGAGAGGAGGAAAAAGATGGGATTCGGTGGTAAAATGTAAACCATTCGGTGACAGCATGTCTGCTTGCTTTTTTGTGATGGCTTTCTTGTGAAGATTTTGGGTTGAAAAGGTTGAGGAAGATGCTTATGCTTATTCTTGTGCTCGTCCTTGAACTTTATTTAACCCATTTTAGCATCAAGTATAAAAAGTTGTTCTTGGACTTGTTTCCAAGTGTTGAGGTGATGGGGGGTTTGAGCATGTGAGTGATTCATGCCTCATTTTGGAGCTTCTGAGATTGGTTTCTGGTTGTGGCTTTGTTTGTTTGTTGTGCTTTGATGTTTCGGAAAAGGCACATCCCTTCTTCTCTTGCTAGGGAATTGTTGGCAATTCAGCCACTTTTTATTCTCTTCCTGTTCAGCTTGCACCACAACACTGTGCAGTGTCAAGGAAGGTTGAGTAAGCATGTTTCTTCAGAGCCTCCCTCCCCTTCCAGGCCGTCATCACCATCATCATCAGCTTACAAGGATGACCCCAGGATGATCATTTTGAGCATGGTTTTAGGAGCAGCCACTGGATTAGTTTGTTCTGTTCTCTTTGCACTTGTGGTCCGTTGTGTGGTGCAGTACCTGAACCGCACACCAATCCTCAAGGGACCTGTCATATTCTCCCCCAAAATTGCCCCCAAGACACTCCAATCAGCTTTGGCGAAGGAAAACCACTTACTTGGCTCGAGTCCTAATGGGAAATACTACAAAACTGTGCTTGACAATGGACTCACTATTGCAGTGAAAAGGCTAACACCCTTTGAGAGCAACTCTCCAGAGGCTAAGAGAAAATCAGTGAAGAGGCAGATACAAACGGAGCTAGAGCTTCTTGCAAGCTTAAGACACAGGAACTTGATGAGTTTGAGGGCCTATGTTCGTGAGCCTGATGGTTTCTCATTGGTTTATGATTATGTGTCCACTGGGAGTCTTGCTGATGTGATGAATAGAGTGTGGGAGAATGAGTTGCCCTTTGGTTGGGAAGTTAGGCTCAGGATTGCTGTCGGTGTGGTGAAGGGTCTTCAGTATCTTCACTTCACTTGTGTGCCTCAGACTCTGCACTACAACTTGAAGCCCACAAATGTGATGCTGGATGGTGAGTTTGAACCCAGATTAGCAGACTATGGCTTGGCCAAACTTCTACCTAACTTGGATAGAGGAACTTCTCTCTACACACCTCCAGAATGTTTCCATAATTGCAGGTAAGACAAATCAATCGGTTTGAATCATGCTCATTCACTGTTGTTTTGAACTTAGTCTGTTCTTTTCTTCGTTTCTTACATCAAAAGGGTAATTAGGTGGTTGATATCTGCCATTTGTTTGATTCGTTACCATTTCAAAAGCTCCATACCTCATTGGAGTTTTTCCCTTTGGAGCACCCTAATCAAAGACTATTATTGTGAAACGTAATCATTATTCTCTGCTTTCATGGTGTCGTTTGCTGATTGAAAATGGTATTATTTAATAAAAATTATGCAAAACTAGTGTTTTTGTAACTACCTATTACTTCCTAATGTCAAGTTTTAGACCTTAGGCACTATGTCTGGTCTAAATGAAGACATAGTTCACATGCGCAACTTAATATATAGATTGATGAGGAGGAATCCAACTAAAATTTATAATTATTATAATAACTCTTGACAGAGGTTTGTACCCCCTTCAACTTGATTTATTTCTAGCTTTTAAAATTGGTATATATTCCCCTGGATGCATCAACATCAATAGTAATTAGTAATAATAACACTAACAGAGGTTGCTTGCTTGCTGCATTGCATATATGGGCTTGGACTTTCCAATAAAATGCTTGTGAACTTCTTTCTATTCTTGCTGGTGAAACTTCTTATTCAGATTGAATGGTGTTTTTTTGCAATATCAGCAGGTACACTGATAAAAGTGACATCTTCAGTTTTGGCATGATACTAGGTGTTTTGTTAACGGGTAAGGACCCTACAGATCCATTCTTTGGGGAAGCAGCCAGTGGGGGAAGTTTGGGGTGTTGGCTGAGACATTTGCAGCAAGCGGGGGAGGCGCGTGAGGCCCTAGATAAGAGCATGTTAGGGGAAGAAGGGGAGGAAGATGAGATGCTAATGGCTGTTAGGATTGCTGCTGCATGCCTCTCTGATATGCCTGCAGATAGACCCTCTAGTGACGAGCTAGTTCACATGCTAACGCAACTGCACAGTTTTTGAACCAAACCTTCATTCTTGGGTTTCTAGAGATTTTTTCTTGTTCTCTTATCCCCATTTCTGTAATAAGATTATAGGGGTATGTGGCTGGCCATGATTCTGGTGTAATTGATTGTTTTGCTTGATCTTGGTTTTCATGGTGTGCTTTCTAATCTTTTACTTTCTCTTTCTCTATTCTTTTGGCTGATTTTGCAGGTTGTAGTTGGTTTAGGCCACACTAGCATATTGTGTTTGTAAATCACTAATGTTAACAAGAGTTTTCTTTTCATGCCCATTGCTACTCTAGTACCCTAACAATTGAAATCGGTAGATTGAATTTTCATTTTTATATGATAAAAAGCTGTTAGAAACTGAGATCTAACATGAATTCAAACAAAAGCTGACACCAAAGGGAAAATTTTAAAAAAGAATAAACTTCACTTATTTTTTGTGAGAAGAAGGAAATGAATGTACATGTTATGCAAGCTAATGAGTAACGTGAAACCATTTTTCAAAATGAATCTTCCAAGTAATAGCACAATGGAGTAGACTCTCTACCAAGCTACCCTGTTGAAACAAATCACCGAATACACTTTAACGTGCTGCACTCAAAATTAGGTACACTAGGTCAACAAATTTTTTTTTAAGTATGTCTGGGTCATCATTGATAATGAGATTCATGGAACCAGTTCAGCAAATTCAATCCCTTTTGCTGAAATTCAATCACACATAATCATTTTAAAATAAATTGTTGAATGACATGATCATTGTTTTCTGGTTTTTATGTTCTTGGAAAATTAGCAGTTATAAATCGATATTTAGTTTTTTTTATTAAAAAATTATTCTCAATTCTTTAAATTCATTATTTAGAAACTTAAACAATCTAAAAATATATATCCTTAATATTTCAATTTAATGTTCAAAAAATAATAAAACATTTTTTTAAGTTGAATTCAATATATTATTTTTAATTTTCAAAAATAGAAATAAACATATTTTAAAGATTAAAAAAAAATTATGCATTTATTTAATATATATATATATATATATATATACACACACTAATAATGTAAAACTTGCTCATGAATCAGATTAACCCTTTCTTTTATTCCTTTTTACTAGGTCTAACCATCCTCAATTTACTTCAAAAATATGCAGAAGATTAACCCACTATCTTACCTTTAACATTTTTTTTATTATGATGTTACCAATTAACACAATAAACACATTAATTGCTAGATACATAATGCAACTTTATAAATAATGAAGTAAACAAGAAACACTATGATAAAAATGACAAACAAATTCCCTTTTTCTTTGACACTTTACAAAATTTTCTAGACTCCAAAATGGCACCCTTGATTAACAGTGAAACGAATTAAACTACAATACAGCAATCACATTTTACCAAAACCCCAAAATGTATTTTAGATTCATCAAAACTCTTGTGGCATTGGTCGTCCTTCTAAGAAGGACTTGAACAGCACAAGTGATCTCTCAGGCTGTGAAAATGGAGCCTCGTGTGATGCTCCCCTGATGGTGGCAAATGAAAGGATGTTACCATAAACTTGAGTCCACCCACCCACCTGAAACAAAAATTTTATATTTCATATGCCCAACAGAAATTCAATTACAAATTGAAAGTGCAAGCAAGTTGAATTTAATTTCTATAAACAGTTTGTATGAAAAAATTACATGTCAATTCATTATAAATTGTAACAAGCATAACTTTAGTTATTATAAAAATCAACAAGCTTGGTCATTTGATGAGAGGAAAGTTCTTTTTACATGACCAATGTATAATTACTGATTGATTGAACTCAAATTCAATGGGATCAATAATCTCAGCAAAACTCAATAGAATAAGGTTCACCTGCTGCTTCTCAAACCACACCCTGTATGGCACAGTGGTCTTCAATCCTAGCTTTTTGGCCAATTTATTTACTAATGTTCTACTTCCAGTCAGTGGGATAACTGAATCCTGATCGCCACTGCAAATCAAGATTAATCAATTATACACCCTCTAATTTATGATTAAGGTCCTGCCAAATTTCCATTTGATCTAGAACAGAATTCCCTTCATAAGGATGCAAACATGTACCTGTAAACCAGTACTGGTATTCCCTCCTTTACTAGCCTCCCCACAACGGTGATTGTTGGTATCTCCAAGTCACGCAGCTCATAATCCAGGACACTGATAAGCATATAGCATAAGATTCATATTACATTATAAAAGACAAAGCTGTTGAGGAAAGCGAGTTAAAGATGAAGTTTTGCACACAAAATATGAAGTATCTGCGGATATTTCAGTTCAATACTCTGGAGAGCAACACTAGAAAACATGTTCATATGAAGAGAGGCAGGGAAGAACACTAATAACATGATTAGTTTCTGAACATGTTATCCTTTCCATGGTTCTCATAAGAAAAAACACAATACAAATGAAGGCGATAAGGGAGAATTACTTGCTGCAAGCAGACCATCTTTGAACTCCAACAAGACGTGCATGCAAAGCAGATTGCACATCTTTCCTATTCAGGTAATTGACTGTTTCATCTTCCACACATACATCTATCGTTTCAGTGACTTGCTGTTTGACAACAAAAAAAAGACCAGAATTTCATTTCCTCAGTACTTCGATTCAAGTTGAATATAAAATCAAGTCAGGTTTGTTGGGGACAGTTGGAATTAAAGAGTAAAATCACCTGGGGATTGAGAACTTTGGTTTGTGAAAACACTGAAGATAAACAAACATCAAGGGTCACATCATACTTGTCCACAAATTTACTTGTTTCTGTACTAACTTGGCTCATGACACTTGAACAGATAGGAGAAACAGCACCATTGTAGTATTCCCTCACATATCTTGAGTAGTTACAAACAGAAGTGAACATTTTGTACGTTGTATCTGAAATTAACCCATGTGACCAGAAGAACTCAGCTCTCGAATTGAAATCTGTTGCAAATTCTAGAACTGGATTACCAAGCTGCAGCAAAGGAAACTAGCTTCAGATGCCTAAATTGCTTAGTCAAAATGAAAAACTGATCAATCTTTAGCTGACCTTTTTTGTTTTCAAGTTTTCACAAAATGTTTACAGATACCAGAAAAATAAAAGAAAGCTGACACGTGGCAGGAATAAAGAAAAGAAGAATAATTGGAAGTTTGTGCCATAACTCACAGCAATGCCTTTTAGATTGAACAACTTCTCCTTTTTGTTGAATTGGAGCATAAGCTCAGCCAGTTGAGGAACATAATGACCTAATCATAAATTGCAAAATAGATGCATAACTCAACAATTGCTTCAGTATGCACGAAAGACATAATAGATGGAAGGGTTACCAGCATAGCTTTCTCCTACAATGAATAAACTTCTGTTTCTGTATTCTGGAAACTTTATAAACCAGTTTTTCAAGAACACCAAGTTATCCCTGGCTATAAAGAGAAAGACAACCGGTTTCAGAAAATCTAGGCAATCTTTAAAGGAGCATATCTGTCAATTTTGTAAAGAAAAACAACACTATCTACACTGTGGACAAAGAATAACTGTAAAGTAAAATAGCAGAATGTGAAATAACAATATGTTAATAAGCAAACTTTGGGGAAAAGCGACGGAATTTTGCAAAAGGTAAAGATAAGAAACAAGAAAAGCAAAAGGGAGATAGTGAGAACTAAAGAGGGGAAACTGAAGAAATAAAGAAAGTTGACCCGGATCTTCCTCGAAGGTAAATCCTTTCTTTAGCCATCAAAAACTGCTTGTATATAATGTTCCAATTACCATTCTAACCAATAACATCGGGAATTATTTTGTAGGGGACAAAAAGTTATTGATGTCAAATAGAGTGGTGAAGATTAAACTTGCCTGTAGTTTTGTCATTCACACCCTCATAAGATGAAGTATCAGTTGAGTAAGAGAATCCAACTCCAATTGGCGTTTCCAAATACAGCATATTAGCTTCTGCAACTCGTGCAGAATGCTCATTAGCACGTCATAGTTATGCACTTAGGCTAAAAAAAATGGGTAAGTACCTCTGTTCCAGCTGAATCGATTCCTAATTAAGGCTTCTCCTTTGGGCCTAAATGGTCCATTCTCTGAAAATGCACCAACTCCAAGAGAAGAACAACCAGGGCCTTCAAACGAACATGAAACAACAACAACACAAAGCATAAGTTTCCAAAATTTAAAATGCTTATCTGATTGAAAACTTTTATTCACAAGAACCAAGGAGTGAGGAGCACCTCCATTGAGCCAGAGAACAAGGGGCTTGGAAGGTGCGTCTTTTTCAGCTTCAGCAAAGTAGAAAAAAAGTGCTTGCTGGTTTCTGTCATCAACAGTTACATAACCTGAAAACTGATGAAACTCAGCTTGGGGTTGGCCCGGTAAGTGAGTGATCCTAAGGTCAGAGGATGAAGGGTGCACAATGCCAAGCTGGAGGAGTAGGACTGCAACACACATAGCAATGGAACTCGAAAGTTGAGAACACATGACTTGGTTTCTGCTTCCTTACTTTCACTTTCAGTTGCACAACACAAAAAGCTTAGCAGCTAGTTGTTATTGTTGTGTGTGAAAGAGTGAGTGGTGCCTCCATTGTATATAAAAAGTAGAAACGGATTTGCTTTTTAAATATTTTTATTCTTTGGACTTTTGGTTTGTTTGGAAATCTGGGGTTGGAAATTGACGAGGGAGTGAAAGTACAGTGAAGTGTGGAGCGAAGTGTGATGTGGTGATTTAGATCACTGTTGGTAAATGCACGTGTGTGACAATTTGAGTTGGTTTATTATTGTCACTGACTATTGATTTCCCCACTTTCACTATTGCATTTTCTCAAATACCCTTCCTTCATCAATTCTATTTTATTTTTTTTGTAATAATTAAAATGAAATGCATCTTCATCATTGACCTCCATAAACATCCCATTTATTTTCTACTTCTCCACTACAATATTGAAGTAAACTATTAAATGCGTTTTTTTGCTCTATTTATTTTCTTAAAAATAGTATTTTGATGAAGTCCTCTCTCAAATAC